GCAGTTTCAAGACAGCTAGAGCTAGTATGCATGATAGGACACATTATTTGCTCCTATGTATGTACGATTTATTTATTTCTTCTTCTTTCTCAAAAAGGCGCGTACTGTCATCATTTATGCAAACAGCTGTAAATGTTCTGTGTATATTTGAAAAACACAGAGAAGAAAATTAACATGATTGTAAGCTGCTATTTAAAGGACAATAGATGGAAAATACAGCATTATCCTTAAAGGAACATAATTAAATTTCTGCATCATGTTCCACACACAGAAAATCATTAAAACATGAATTACTTTTTTTCAATGTTTTGACAGACAAAATGAGAGGAAAGTTCTATCTTCTCAATCAATATTTTTTGGATGTTTTGTGAAGGGAAATGGGAAAATGCCTGCAGTGATTTATCAATATTGATATATATAAAAACAGTGTGCCAAATTTGTTTACAATGTATAGATATGTCTAATATATGTATGAGTGATCCTATAAGTCTTCCTCTGAAAAATTCATTTAATTGAAAAGGTGAACCACTCCATGATTCAATAGAGTAACCATAGTTCATAGTATCTAATTCACTCCTAATATTCAACAGATACACTTGTCCTCATCTGGTTCCTACAATCATCTATCACATTATTTTATGACTTACAATCCTTGTCTCTTAGAATAACTCACTTACAATTTCACAACTCCAACCCCCAACCAAACCAAATCAGCCTATCAATAATGTACCACCAAGATTCAGGAGAGTTGGAAGGATGACAGCATCCACCAACAGAGAAGGGCATAATAGAGCCACTAGGAAAATGAAGACAATGTATCGTAACAGTACAGTGGACATATGGTCTGAGAGTCTATTCAATATGTTGAAGATTGTAGCAGACAGATTCAAAGAAAGATAGAGAAGAGAGAGAAATAAAGCCATAAAGAAGGTGTCATTGAGAGATATAGCCATCTTAGAAGTATGAGATGAGAGGCTCAAAAAGACATTATTAATGATATCAGCTAAGAAGAGGGCTAGAGATGATGACAAGGTAAAATCCACCACTAAGAGGGTGGACTCTAGAAAGAAAAGGGTCACAGATAATGATGATATGGCAGTAATTGTAGAACCACCTGTCAGAGATGACAAGAAGAAGGAGAAAAGACATCAAAGAAACAGACAGGAAAGATAGTTAAGGTTGTTAAAAGCTAGACTTTTGACATAGTCAGTATATATGCTTCTCCTACTAAGGGAAGTGAGTAGCAGGCTGACAGGCCTGAGGAAGACAATTTACTATTATCATGTCACTGAATTGATTGATTTTCCATCAATAGAATATTATATTCTGATAGCAAGAGATTATTAGGTTAAAGTTTGGTTCCTTCACCTACTAGTTATAGTTTTTATAATTCGCTCCAAAGCCAGCTGCTTTTGGATAAATTATATGCTATACTATTGAAGATATTTTTTGTGGCCACTTCTAGTAAACTACATGGATGCCAAACAAGACCCTTTAACCTCAGCATCAATAAATCCAAGAGCAAAATTTTTTAAGCAAATTACCAGTGCATCCTATACCCTAGAGCCCCTAGCTATCTATGAAGGCATAGGTACTGGAGCTAATGAAGGAGGGACGATCAATAGCATGTGCATATTTGATATAATTAATTGAGACAACTTGAAAAGATGTCAGCAATATCTACAAAACCACAATAAAGCATTTGAATGAACTAACAACAATGCATTACTAGTGTCAAAGAGAACAGATATGGTAGGTGAGGAGCTAGAGACTAAAACTTAAGAAGGAGCAACCAGAGATGTGGATATGAATGTCATAGATATCATTAGTTGAGACAACTTGGAGTAATATCTGAACATGTTGATTATTAATAAGGCACAACACCAGTGGTCATTATGCATTGACTAGCTCATCAAAGGAAAAATGATGTGGGATGAGTTCAGCAATATAGTAACCAATGAGATGCATTTTAAGATGGATCAGCATGTCAATACTATGGATCTAGATATGTGTACTCATAACATCACATATGTAGAACTAAATACCCTGATTTGCAGATAGTGTTGATCCTGATCTTCCATTTCTTAAGTTGAATGCAGGAATTGCAGTGTGAGTTTACCTACACAACTTGCCAAATGATTCCAATGCTGCTATCAAATAATTTCTTTGCAGCATCAATCAATGTTTTATTTCAGATGCCAAAGATTGCCAGTTGTGTGATTGGATCTTGAAGAAGGTCAAACCTGATACAGTAAATGCAGTGCTTCAGAGAGCACAAGATCATTATTTGAAATTGTCAGACAGGCACCAAGGTACATATTGTTTTTGTGTTCTTTCTGTATGTCCCACATCTCATGCCTGTATATATTATGCATGTAGGTAGTGAGCAGCACATTTCTCCATAAGAAATGGAAATTTATTCATCAATATACACCCATGGATTTCCTTTTTCCCCCTGTACCAGCAGCCAATAATATTTGTCAAATCATTTAGATGATCATAAGAAGGCTCTCTTAGGAAGCCATGACTCATGTAAGATCATAGCTATACCACCTAAAGCTGGTGACACAAATCATACAACTCATGATGTACATGTATGCGAACCATCACTTTATCCTTCTTCTGTGTCAATAATAACACCTCATGCTATGGATGTCCTATGTAATATGAATTTGGAAGAGTCTGAGTCGTTCATTAATATGCACTGCATTCCAACACCGTCAGCATTAAGGCAGTAGTTTTATGGTATACCTATGTTAGAGACTAAACTATAACTCATCATTATATTCCAGAAACTTGAACCATTCATATTACTTCATCTTTAGTCTTTAGGACATAGTTGCTGCATTTTGAAGAACTTATGTAAATAGGATTCTTGGTGGGCAGGGCCATTAACCATATACAAGATTGTGACTTGCATGCTTTGAACAAGTCAATATATTGCAAATGAGAAAAGTTGAGTATTAGCATACCTGTAAGATAGACATGTCTTGAGCTGAAGAGACAATTTAGTGATAGGTAGTCCTGAAAATTTGTGGACACAGCAATGAAGTCACTGCAGGCATTTTTCTATTTTCCTCCACCAAATATCCAAAAAACATTGATTGAGAAGATAGAATTTTCCTCTCATTTTGCCTGTCAAAATATTGAAAAATTAATCATGTTCCTTCAAAGATAATGCTGTATTTTCCATTTAGGATGGATATGAGACTCTGGCTGACAAAGCATGGCTAAGCACAGTTGTGTCGCTCTAGTTTTCTAGTCTTTATTTGTATTATCAGTAGGCATTTAGTTTAATGGCTGACCCTAATGGAAGTAGTTTGTCTCCAGTGTTGGTAAATGATCTGTTTCTGTGTTTGTGGTGGGGGATATGATAGTCCCTTGGTGCTTATTATGATTTTGAGAGGTGCTATCATGTTGATATGTGGAGTGGGTTTGTGATGTATCTATTCCTAGTATTGAATTGGTTAGGTTCTTACCTGTGAGGGATATCTTTACTTCTGAAACTTCAAGGAAGGTCTTCAAAGGGCCTCTTCATGATATGATCTCCTAGCATGTAGAAATGAGATTGAATATATTCGACTCCTTGAGACAATCTTCAGTCAGAAATTGATTTTATTCATTTAGTATTAGCAGGTAGGCTTAGGCCAAAGGCAGAGGCAGATGGAGAAGTTGACTAGTGCTACATTAGTCTGAATGCTTAGCAAAGCATTCCCTAACTTACTCCTCGACCTAAGTTTATTATCACTCATGATATCAACTCTGTCATTGGAGTATCATGTCCATTGCCTTATACAATGACATTGTTGGTCTGGCTCATTCCTCCTTTATTAAGGACAACCATCTCAAGAGTCATGCATACAATGATGAAGTAAGATACATCCAATGAAGTGACTAGTGGTAGTTATAGATCCTGACCATATTGAACCAGGGTGCCGAGATCCAGGTCCTCATATACAAAATTCCCAACATCCCTTTAGGGAAAGTGGAACAGCAGTACATCATCAGGATTTTTTCCCCAGATTATACACTGCAGCATCTAAAGACACATCTCAGATTGGATTGTCTCAAGAGAACTCAGTGCTTATATACAACCACTGTCCTTGTTCTACAATGATATGTTATTTGCCTGAAACAAGAAATAGATGACTCACCTCTTATAATATCACCTTAACCCATGCCAGAACATCCACTAGCTCCCTCATATTCAATATTGTTAATGTTACTTAGCATGTTTTAGAGAAGCTTGCAATCTTATTGCTTACAAAACTTGAGGAGGAAAAGGATAAGTTCAAAGATGCATATTTTCATAAGTTACAAGGAAAGAAGAACACTGCTATGCATGATGGAGAGGTCCTGGCTGTAAGATATATGACCCTCAATAAAGTATTTAAGCATATTAATAATTAATACCTGGATCCTTGGTAGTAACATGTGAATATTGCACTAATGATTGGCTTGCCAGGCCATATTGTCACCTGGCATAAGCCTTCTCACTGAGAGATCCTCAACTTTCTTATGCCTAATGCAGGTCCTGACCAGACCCTTCAGTCACTTCTACTGTAGAACCCTGTCATAGGACATGTACATTTGCCTGCAAAATGCAGACTACCAGATACCAGCTGATTCATGTAGAACTAGGCTCAGACGATGCTGTAGAACCCTAGCAGGCTGATTCCTTATATGAGGAAATATCAGAGTTGTAGGAAGGGGCCAGCCTACATGCTTCTGCCTGCCTCTGCAGTATGCAGAAACAGGTTAGCCAGCCACAAGTTAAATTTGGGCTACATGAGCCAACCCTGTTGTATAATATGTAAGGGAGATCTGGCTGACATATTTCTACTGTTTAATTTACTCATTCTGATTGACTAAATAATAGCAAGGCTTATTACATGTATCTATGTATGTCATTCTGCATATTCACTTATTACATATAAGTATTTCACATTTGCCTCATTTACATTACTACAGCTCTTGCCTATGGATTTCAGATGCTTATACAGTATGATAAAACCTCTTCTTCAAGGAAAACAGCTCAGGAGAAGAACATATCAGACTGAATGAATGACAATTTCACTGGTAGCCCAAAGGATGAAACAGTTGCCAAGAAAGTACCATAATACCAGGTACAAGTAAGAAAGATAAAGCAGGTAGTTGAAGAATCATGAGAAGATTTGGAGGCAGACTTTAACAGTGATAAGCCTTATGCATTGCCAGCTGAGGTGAAGCACAAGCAAAAATTACTAATAAAACATACCTCAGCAGCTCAAAAACTCAATAGAAGATTCACAAATTGAAGAACCCAAAGAAAATGTGAAACCTGAGGTCTTCTACTTGAGTACAGCAGGCATAAGGAAATGAAAGCCTCAGGCATCTGAATTTCTACCAAGTCAAAAATTGCTGATGTCACTCACACTCTTAAGGCTGTCAAGAATGAAGTGAGTTTTCTGTCTATCTTATCATTATTCTCAATTCACTAATATTATTTACAGCTGAACGATTTAAGGAGCTGTACTAAACTAAGATGATACTCTATGTAATGTGTAGGTCTACAGACCTCCCTCTCTGTGGTGTCAGTTTTGCTACTGAAGGTGTAGATGACTTTATATTGTCTGTAATGAATTTTAACAGTTAAGATTTAGTCCATAATATAGAAGGATTTGCTGTCCAAGGCATGAAAGATACATTTGTCCTGCCTAGGTTTCTTTTCCTTCATTAATCTCCAATGCTCATTAGGTGCTACAAAAAATCATCAAAAGCGGTATTCTATAGTTTGCTCATAAATCTACCATAAAATTAGCAAGGGACTCAGTGAGTTTTTTTGAATATATTATTTCATATTACTCTAATGACTACATCTTCCAGTAGAAATCACTAAGAATAAAAATGTGAAGATACACTGAGTTAAGTATTTCCATAATGACATCCAGCTCTACCAAGTGATCATCAAAGGCTGGCCTACCAATATTTCTTTCACTAATCTCAGCCAAGTGTCAAGCGCTCTTCCTTGCCAATGCTGCAATAGAAGACATCTGACACTTAATAGTAAGATCCATAAAGTCACAAGTTGGTCATTCAAACACTATGGTGTTCATACATGAGATCACAAAAATCATTATAAGTTTTCTACATTAAATTATATTGTAACCAATAACTAATTATGGGTATCTTGCAGGCATGATTATTATGGAAGCATGGGAAGGCCTCTACTTCATTCTCCACATGCTGCTGTTTTGTGCAGCTGAGATTTGTGGCCACAGCAACCCTGTGATGCAAAAAATCATTACTCTATCTGACTGGTCTACAGTCAACATGGATGACCTATATATTACTGGTCACCTGCAGTTCATCAAGACTGTTAGATATCAATGCATGGATCATAGTGCTTTAGCACCTATGCCAGCATCTACTGTTTCTGCTTCTCAGCTGCTGGTGATTGCTGCCAGACTACCTACTGTAATGGTATTAGTGGAGGTTATGGGGGTATTGGATTCAGTAAGTGGTGAATCTCCTATATCAAAGTTCAACTTGTTTGTTGCCAGTACCAAATATAAGGTGCAGCATTTGAAAATAGAGAGAGAAAATATAGTTGAAGAGTTACTCAAAGATCTGAGTAAGTGGGTAATCCTTCTGGCCCATCCCAGTCAAGTGTCATTGCAGCTGTTTTAGGCTCGAAACCAGTACACAAGACAAGGACAGCGAGTGTTCCATCACTGCCAATGCTACGGTTAGCTGAAATTTAACTTAACATGATCTAAATGCATCTCACCAAACACCCACTTCACCCACTAACACCTTATTTAGGCTCCAACTCTGCATGCAGGTCTCACTTAATATCCATAGTTCCTTATCCAACTCTGCCACTACCAGAACTAAGAGCAGATATAGAGACCAAAAGAGACATACAAGAGAGGGCCTAGGTGTGGGTGGTGGCGCAAAGAACTTTGTGGAGAGTGTATGCCGCCTGTTTTGAGATTTGAGCATGAGTCTATGTAAATGAATGTCCATCTGCAGATGGAATGCTCAAGTGGTGCATAGAGATCTTAGGAGAAGGAAGAAACAAAGAAAAAGACAAGCAGAGAGTAAAATGAACAAGAGAAATTACATAACTATGGGCAGGGTGAGAGGAAGGTACAATGCAGAAGTCGGCATTGGTACAATTGTCTGTCATCCATATTAATACTTGCATTTATATCTATGAGGGTGCCAGAATCCACATGTACATGGCAGCAGTAGTGCTACTGGAATCCAGTTCAAAACTTTGGTTTGAACCTATATCATTCCAAACTAGACCAAAGGTTTGGTCCAGGTCTAACATAATGCAGGAATGTGAGGTGACCTGAAAATTTAAAAGTCCTATCTTTTCTGTCCTACTGGTGGTAAGAATTGAAGTTCCAATGAATTCCAGAAGTATTCTGAAATATTTCTGAATGGCCAAATTAGGCCAGGACAGTATGTATAGTATGGATGAGATGAGTGAGATAGATACTTCCCACAGTATGTAAAGCTAAGAATACTAAGGAATATGATAGAAGAAAAACAAAATGAGTCAGAAGGAAGGTAACTAATAGTATATTGGTTGCCATCATCAATATTGGATGATGACTTTTTATGAGTGTTACATTTACTGATATACATCCTCTGGCTTTCTCATGTATCTCCTAAGCAAAGCTGAAGCAGTCTAAGATCCTAAGCCTCATCTCCAATGAGATGTTCTCTCTAAAATTCATTTTCAGAGAGAATGAAAAGACCAGTAAACAGTATGCCTTTGAACATAAGGTGATCTGAGATATTATTCTAGGTGTGGTGTCAAAACTCAAGTATCAACACTACATCATAGACCTAGAGAGTTCTTAAGAGGGAAACTTGTTGATGTCAAGTTTTTAGCTCAGGCTTTCAAGCCCATCTACAACACACTTAAAGCCTACATTCAGGACCACATCTATATGGATATAGAGCTATCAAAGAGATAGTCATAATTCAAGGCCTGCACCATGATTAGATTAGCAACTATATATTAAAGCTTTTGTCTCCTTCATATGTGTCATAGTAATAGTACTATAATCAATATTAGCTCTTTTCCAGAAGCCTAACATGAAAAGCGGATAATGAGTCTTGCATGACTTGCTCTTGAGGTGTTGAAGCTGCATAACATGGCTTGATGTGGTCCCAGTCATTTTAGAATTCAGAGGAAAAAATACTGATAGCATCAATGAGAGTGGACTTTGGATTGATTGAGGAAAGAAGCAAGCCTATGAAAGAACATTATTTGGGAGACTCAGACAGATTGGACAATGCTAAAATGTCCCTATTAGATTGTTCATTAGATCTTGCCCTCCCCATTATCCCTTTTGCAGCACTCCAATAAATTGTGTTATACACCTTTTGCTTGACTGTGTGTGGCTTAATTGTATACTTGAATATCTTTATACTGGTTTATCACCACTGAACCACATGAAAGATCTTTATTTTCACCTTTCCTACTGTGGATGTTCTTTTGTTTTGCACACATTCCAGCACCAAGCATCCTACACACTGGCAACATCTCCATAGCACGCAGAGGTATCATATGCAAATACTACGCACCTACTTGTACAAAGAACAAATGCGCAGAGATAGTCTTTGCCTGCTAACACTAATGTCAACAAAGACAGTGCATATTTTAGGTATGATCTATGTCAGGAATCAATTTGTAAGCACAAGTCAGTTGTGTATTTTTGATACAAAATACAGAAACACACTTAAAACTGACACCCTTCCTTGCACTAGTGACAGCTGCTTGCACCACCTTCTTAATCACCTTTCCATTCTATGATGTACCTCCGATCTGGCTAATGAATGTGTCTCAGCATTCAACTAGTCGCATTTATCACCAAAGTGTTTGTTTATGCAAAATTTTAAGTGCTTGCCATGACTATGAATTGGAGCACACATATGCACCTACTTACCTAGTCATACATTGCATTTATCATCTGAAGATTTAATAATATGATAGTATATGCCTGCATCTCTGAATCCATGTGGAAGGTGTGTAGCATGGAGGTTGAATAAAAGTAGTTGTGAGTGAAGAAGCTAAAATAGACTCAGAAATGATGGAATAGCAGAATTGATAATCATTTGATAGGATTATATATGTCTGTGCATAGCACTGATATAGCAATAGTAAGAACTTGAGGTGACAAACCGGGTGTATTGATGTAAAGAAGGTTATGGCCATATCACTGGTAGACAGAGGCAGTCAATAGGTTGAAAGGTGTTGAATCAATTCAAGGTGGACTAAGAAAAGTATTTGATTCACATCGTTATGAGACAGAGAGCATACTAACTTGACATATACCTAGTGCTATATCCTTCGACAAAATGGAATGCTCTATCTTGCCCACAGCTCAATTTTCGACACCATATGAGTATCTATGTTTCATCTCCTCCCTGTCTTTTGACTCAGTTCAGCTTCGAAAAGGAGTGTCAGGCATTGCGGAGGGAGGCCAAGCAATATGAAGATATAAATATAAATTTTTATTTGGCCGCCAATCTGGATGCCATGCACTGCAAGTCATCTAGCCTTGCTATGTTATGTAACTGGCTTGAATGTTACCCTAGCAATGATAACTACGCAGGTGCAGTTAGCTAAGACATTGGGGCTCTCTACAGCACTGCAGATCCCACATCAGATGGTGCTATGGCACATCTTGCTTTTAAGAGTACAGTGGAGAAGCTTGATAGAGGGAACTCATAAGTGATACTTATTTCTGTTGAATCCAATTATTTATCATCTTCTGTCAGACAGTCCTCATTATATGACCATCACCGAACCAACCCAGGAAGATAAACTTGCATATCACCAAATGGATATTTGTGAGACAAACTAATTCCTTCACTTCATCTCATGCACTGCACTGAGCAACCCTTTTCTTGGATACAGAAAACCTCTCATTCTTAGTGAACTTCTGGAAATGTTTTATTTTGTATGCTATTAAGAACTACATCTTGTCCATTGGATTATCCTCCCTCATCATCAATATTGACACCTGGTATATCATCAACTACTCCAGCCCTCTATAAAACGCCTCTATTTTTCCTCAGCTGCCAGTGATATTGGGAAATCAGAGATCCCAGACACTTCTTGTACTCAACTTGAATGGCTTCTGAGTTGTATTGGTTTATTTCTCCCTCATTACTTACATTACTTCTGGCTTCTATAAACAATTGCATTGCCTAGCAATCCCAAGCCACATGCTATCTCATTGGCAATAGCAATGAGTAGACTAAATAAACTGTCAATCAACAGGCAAATCTCACTAGGTTAGCAAGATTTATGTTTCTGACACATCAGAAAGAACAGACACTGGGTTAAGGAGTGCTGATGCTGCTGTCATCAGAGGAGTCATGAATAGCTGTCATATCTTCATTTCTGCCATTTCTTTTCCTTCTCCTTTGGTGTCTGCTAGCATACTCTTACATTGAATCATCATCTTCATAATTGCACAGGCAAGAAATGCATATTCACCTCAACAAAAACACTCATTCTTATGCAACCAACCCAATCTGTTCTCGCAAATCTAATGCAAAATATATTGTAGCTGCTCATAATTAAAATGGGCGCATTGCATTTTAGCATGCATGGAGATCCTGGAGCACTCAAATATAAATGCAGACTTATCCTCGCCTCCATTAGTAGCTTACAAAACTTGAAATATACACATGCAGGATGAGATCAATTGAGCATCCAGATGGCAATAATATGCCTGAGGAAATCAAAACTTCTGTGCAGAATGAAAACAGATCCCTCACTAGCAACATAATACCTCTAGCTAGGCCTTAGCTGTAGTCACTGCATCTGGTAAGTATACTTCATGGTCCTTTGATTGCTACTGAAATCTATAGGTCAATGTGGAACAGGCACAAAAGACACTCAATTATAATGAACCACTAGGTTCATTCCATCGTAAAGTCCCAACTTTTGTCAAAGAGAGATCAAAATAGGCATACATTGTATTTTCAGAAAATCACAAGTGCCTATGGGACCATACTTTTCTCAGGAATATGAAAAAACCCTTTAAAACCAAGCACATACCCAGAATGATAGCTACTGTTTAAGTATTTTTTCATGCAGTACTTTTGGTGCTAACAAACAACATTTTAGAATTAACTAGGACATTCCAAATGTTAGTAATTGAAGAACCTTCAAAACTTAGCATATATCTAAAATGGTAGCTACTGGTATGATTGGTGCTTCCTGACACCTCAGTGACATCAACTGGTTAGTATTCTGAGGCTGGTTGATACAGCATTGGATAATGAACTAGTGATGCTGATGGATGAGGTTGGAGTTGGGAAAACTATGCATGCAGTTGGCTTAATCACATGTCTTGCTCACTATAGAGAGCATTACAGGAAGCACACAAGTTCCCTGGAAAAATTGGTATGTAATATGGTAGTTATGACAGCTGTATACACTAATAGTTATCTACAGCCCAGTGATTCTGCAAGAAGACTCATTTCAGACTTGCCTACTGTGATAATGAGATCACCTAATTTATACCATCAATGGATGAGTGAAATATAATATATCTAAGGTGAGTGACATTTGATGTTCTTTAAGGCTTTACCATAACTACTAAGGGAGCCTTAGCTGATGAGCATTTCTGTAGAGTGCATGTTTGACAATGATAGCAGCATCATGGGAGATTTGATCTCTGTTGGTGCATTAATGCCAAAGTTAGATGACTTTATTGACAGTGACAATGCTATAATTGTTGATCTCAAAACTACTGGAAGAAACAAAGCTAACAAAAAAGAGGCCTGTATCAAACCCACCCCCAAGGACCCAGTATCTCCTACTAGATCAACCATACAGTATAAGGATAAGGGAAGCAAAGTAAAATCTATAGTAGTTGACGCTGATGATGAGTTTTGGGGGACCTTACATAAGTGTCACAAGAACACAGAGCTACTGTCACAATCTGTCACCATAAGCAAGGAGGCACCCTATGCAACTAGCTAAGGTGTGACACTATCTCAGTTGTGGAGTGGGACTCAGATTAACCTACAGTCTACCTAAATTCTGTTATTGGAAAGGATTTAGTCGATTGTAGCCATGAGATAGACTGGAATGAAAATAGCAGCTACAGCTAGACTAACAGTGGCGAACATAGCAGCTGCTTAACTATAGAGCATGATAAATAGCCATCACAGCAATATCACTGTTCCTATACATTAGTTGATAACATCTTCAACAAAAAGCATCTAGTATTATATTCTGAGACTCCTATGATAACATTAGCTATGAGGTCACCTTTTGTATTGGCAAAAGCCAGCAGGAACTTGGGTGACTCTATGGACAATTGATGTCCTTACTCTCATATACAAAAATATGGCCCTTTATCAGGGAAGTGGAGCAGCACTCATGTTGATGGACCTTAGCCTACTCAGGCTGGACATTCTCATAGACTAGGCCGGACCTTTAATTAAGCCCAGGTCCTACCTATGCTGCCAGGTTTTCCTCCTCCAACTATATATAACAACAGTGGTCTCATAGATAGATTATGTTGAAATGCCTGATCCATTCTTCCTATTATGCTATATGTTGATATTACATCTATAATTGCCTATTCTCTCAAATAACCATACATTTACTATATGATGCTTGAATACTGACCATATTTGATCCCTCATCTATTGTCAGGGAATCTATATCATGATAATTCTTTATATGTACCTATTTTATAAATTCATTGTATTCTAAGTGAGTCTGAGAAACAAGGTCAAACATAGAATGTTGTCTATGTGGCAGATAAGTCCTTTTTGGGATATATGTTCTTTGCTGTATACCACTATGTACAAACTCTCAGTATTCAACAACATCCAAGCTCCAACAGTGGCCTAGTATGCATTTTGGTTGTCATTGATATTAATCATCTGACAATAGGGATCTGAAATATAAGATGAGCAATGCCTATGGAACATGCATAGCTCCTGTATATTATTCTAGATTTAAACCAGTTATAACAGTACAAGTGTAATTAATGTGCTGCATTTTGTGAAAGAAGTCAATGTCGAGTTTAAGAATGACTTCCCAACTCAGTATCTTTGCTAGCAACCCATCATTCTTGGCTTAATCAGCCTGACTCTTGGCAAGCAATTGATCTATTTCTGCTTGATGTTTTTCTCACAACTGCAAGAAGTCAATATGATAATCTTAACCATACCAAGAAAGAACTCACCTACTGTGTTTAGACTTCCTTCTCCTGTCTCTTTTGCTCTGCTTCAATTTCAATATGCACCCATTAAGACTTAAACTTCTGACATACTGCCTCCATACTGCTTAGCTTCTCTATCCTGACCCTAAGATAACAAAAGCACCCACTACTCCATGTTTTCTCAATACCACCTAAGAAAAGGTATTTCACAGCCTAAAACTAATGCTACTCAGAGAGACCTAGAGGAGACAAGAGCAGAGGTTAAATGGAGGGAAGTGAAACTTATTAAGATGCAAAGAACAAGACAAAAGTCTTCAAACTTATCTTGAAAAATATTCAGAGAAACCCAGTCATAAGGTAAGAAAAGAAGCATTATACTGTCAATAGATTCAAGACTCAAATAGGTTGAAGGAGATGCAAAGTCTTATTTGTCTGTTCAGGCTCCAATTCTATTACAGCAATAGGAAGAGTACAACTGCCTACAATCTAAATTGCCTCATAACTCTTAACCATACTCACCAAACAGGAAGCTAACTCAAACACATCTAGAAGAGTCTCATAGAAGTTTCATTCAGAGAATGAACTACTGAGTTCAATGACCTTGGTCAGCAAGTTCAAACTCTGCTTAAGATGAGTCCATATTGAGGGCAGGGACACAGAGAGGTCATCTCCAGCTCTCACAACAATCATCCTAATAGTCTGGATTACAATCACATCATCAATATGCCAATTCAAGGGCTCACAAACAGAATGTCCTATCCCTACATATCTAATACTGATACTCTCCAGGTGGTTTCCTATGTCTGAAATATTGAGACATAGTAAATGGAGTATCAGAAAGCATGATAGCATTATGGAAACTCAATGAAACTACAGATTCTGTCATGATAGAAACATCAGAAGAACAAGATCAACAAGCACAATTATATTGAAACATGAATCCATTGGCAATGGACATATTTGACATCCAGCTGCAAAAGAATGAGTCATGGCCAATATATGTCTGACCTATGTAAACAATTAGTAATTAAATATTGATAGCACCAATGAGGAAATAGCAAGAGTTGGCTTTGCTATTTTCTCGGACCAGTAACAGAGGAGGGCATGCAAAGTGTGGTGGTGCTATATGGATTGTATCCAGTATCACTATAGAAGAACTGCAAATATCTCTCTTAATGAACATCAGAAGGTTGGGAAAACACTCTACCAAAATGCAGCACCTGGAGATAGTGAGACATTATACAAAGTTGTAAAGCCAGATATAAATAATTCTGAGGGCAAAAAAGACATGGATACTGGGAGCAAATATGATTCCAACCATGTCCCTCAATGCAATTTCTTTCATCTTAAGAAGGTGGAGATCGTTAACTTGAAGAACAACATCGATACCATACTACTTTCACTACTTATGGAGTCAACATTTTGTAGTTTGGAACTGCATGAGAAATGTTTTATGGTATCATAGGTGCCATAGTTGGTGAGATAAATTTTGCTAATTTAGAATCATCATTTCTAACATTCACCTCAGGTCATCTCAATGCTTATAAACATCGATAGGTATTGCATTATGATGTCAGTGATGGTAACTCCATGTTCCTGGTGCATAATATCTCTGCCAAATCTGCTATCTCTTCATGTCCTGAAAAAGCACCTAAGGAGTGGACCCTTATGAGAGATGGGATGTCATCTAATTGAGGATCTGCTACAGACTGTACAAATCTTGTGGGAGAGGAGCACCTGCTACACATGGTAAGTCACTTTCTGATCTTTTATCTCAATACTGATATAACAGACAGGAGATACTTCCCTTTGAGTTCAATTAATCGATCATTAGAGAACCCATACAGTTCCATCATGACCTACAATCTTACTTCTGGTTGGCCTACCTCATTACCTGCAACTGTGCAGGTCCATTCAACATGTGTCATGACTGGGATAGGGAAATGAAGCTTTTTAATCTGTCCAAATCTATTAAACCTTTGGACATCCAACACATGGCTGAGATTAAGACTTACAGAATGTCTAGATAGTGTTGCCACTCAGTAAGGGCGCGGATGATGGCCAAGAGTTCATGATTGAAGATCTGATAGTTTCTTTCAGCTGGATTAAGAGATTGGGAGAAATAAGCACAAGGATGATAGATACTGTTTTTGTTGGTTTGCAGCAGGACTTCACCTGTAGCAACTAAGGAAGCATCTGTGGCAATGGCAAACTGTTTAAGTGGATCAGGGTTATGAAGTACCGGATGGGTCGTGAAATAAGTTTGAAGGCAGTCAAACATTTGTTGGCATAGGGGGTTCCAATGGAAAACAACATCTTTCTTTGTTAAGTCAATGAGAGGTTGGGCAATATCAGAAAATAATAGGCAACAAAGGTTCTATAGAACTTGCAAAATCCAAGGAATGACCAGACTTCTTTGATAGAGATAGGAACAGGCCACTTGTCTATGCCATCGGTTTTTGCTTTATCCATCTCCACATGTCTGAGTTTAATGACCATGCCCAGATATTCGACTTCATTAGAATCAAAAGTGCACTTTTCTGGTTTCAAAAATCACTTTTCTTCTCTGATTTTCTTCAAAATCCATCTGGTCTGATCATGGTGCTCTTCAAGTGTCTTTAAAAAAATTGAAATGTCATCCATATATTACCAATCATCCCTCATTGATTTCTGGTCGGAATTTATTGTCCATATACTTGGAAAGTGGCCAGGGAGTTTCATAGTCCAAAAAACATCACAGTTGGTTCAAAAAGTCTATATTCAGTGGTAAATACGGCCTTCCATCTGTCAGCAGGATGGATATGGATGTTGTTATAACCAGATCTAATATACATTTTTGTAAAGAAGTTTACACCATGCAATCATTTGATAAGGGATGCTGGAAGTGGAAGGGGATAGAAGTTCTTGATTGTTTGATTGTTAAGAAGTCAATAGTCTTAACAAGGGCGTAGTTCTCTGCTCTTTTTTCCTACAAAGAAGAATCCACTTGCTTGTGGAGATTTTGACTTTGTAATGAATCCATTTGCCAAGTTTTTGTCAATAAACTTCTTAAATGCAGGACATTCCTTTGGAGATAAGGGGTATACTTTGGACATCCTAGAGAGGAAACCTGGTTTGGTTTCTATATGGTGATTGATTCTCGGTCTTTCTGGAGGAAGTTGATTTAGTCCATCCTTAGCAAATACATCTGCAAAATCATGGAGATAAGCAGGCACAAGTTCTTTAAACAATTTCTTTTGTTTCTCCTTCTTGTCTTTTGCAAATTCTTGTGCCTTGTTGCTAAATTTAAGAGGGGAGACGACAGGTATTTGTTCTGCTAGAGACATTCCGTCTTGAGTGAGGGGGGTGTTGAGGGAGACTTCTATTATCCTCATGAATTCTCCATCATCAAGTTCATAGGTGGAGATCTCACATACCAGTGGTGCTATCCAGATGTCTTCAGTGGGAAGTAACGAGGGACACTAGGCTATTCTATTTTTTTGGGGATTTCTTCTATAGAGACAGAAAATTTGGATGGTTCCTTTCTTAACTTGGAGTTTACCTATTCCTCTTTGGTAGGAGATGTCTGTAGAAGTCCATTGACTTGTCTTGATTGACTGATGCTATCTTTAATTTCGATGGATTTCAAAGTACTGGGAAGGGAAAGAGTTTGTTTGGTCCAATTGATAGAAGGGTTCATAGCCCAAAGCCAGGGGATTCCAAGAAGGATATGATATTTTGATCTCAACTTGGTGATGTTAAATTTTCCTATCATGGTTCGTTTATCAATTTTGATGATAAGGGTACAATACTGGTTGATTGGTTCACTACTGAAATAGCTTCCATCTGCGGTTCATATAGAGAAGAGTCTCTTCAGTTTTCGCAACTTTATTCTGTGTTTTCCTATGAAGTCCTTGGAAATGAATGTTCCTAAGGCTCCAGAATCAATTATTGTGCTGGTTTTGACATTTTCCTGACATGTTCAAGAAATGAGAGTAATGGGAATACAAAGTTCTTTATTTTCACCAATAGCTTGTATCAAACATATGGGTTCTTCTAGAGGTGTCACCATTAACGTAGTTCTCCACTTGAAAAATCCTATTGGATGCACCTAGCTTGTTCTTCCTCTTCCTCTTCTACCTTTCGAATGGAGAGTAGTCCTTTCTTCTTCTGAGAGCATTCTCGAGCATGATGACTGATTTGGTGGCAGACAAAGCATTTTCTAATATGCATGTGTTCTTAGTGTTCTGCTTTGGTGAGCTAATTAACCACTATGGCATCATGGTCTCTGGTTGGTACAAATCTTTGATCTTTGAATCTTTTCTTCTTCTGCTGCATTGGGTGGCGAGATCTGATGGATTGCAACTATAAGTAGCAGTTGTTGATATCTATAATAGCTTCAATAAAGTCATCAAAGGTCTTGGGGACACCGCCTGCATTGAATAACTTTATGAGTATTCTGGAATTAAGTCCTTTTTGGAAGTGGAAGATCTTGGCAGATTCTTCCTTGATTTTTGCTTGGGCAATCAGCCTCTGATAGTCAGTAATATAAGTTTGCGGGTCTTTATTCCCTTGCTTAAGGGTTCTGATTCTTGCCATAGCAATTCCAGAGAGGTTAATGGAAGAGAAGGCTTTATTGAAGGATTCAAACAAGTCCTTTATTATTTCATATCCCTTCTTCTGTCTGAATAAATCAACACTCTGGGCATCCTCTAGGAATTCTTCTTTCCATAACCTGGTGTTTCCTTCATTCATGAATGAGGTAATGAAGATGATGCATTGCTTGTCATCTTTGTAAAGCTTGTCATTGATGTCCATATAAGCATTATAAGAGAGCAAGAACAATCTGGATAATTCTCTGTCTCCATTGAAGATGGAGGGGTGGTTTATCTTGTATTTGAATTCTTTGGTGTTCATGGTGTTCAACATGTTGAGCGGTGGCATGGAAGTACCAAGGTTCAAGGCTTGTAATCTTGGAGTGATCAATGTCAGTTTGTCTTGCCTGCACTAGCTGTCTTGCTCAGCCAGGTCTTGTCTGTAGTCTTGGTTCATGTATCAGTTATAACACTTTAACAAGTGGTATATATCTGTATTTGAATCTTTTGTTATGAACTAGGATAGTTATTAACAATGACAGCTCGACAGAGTTATAATCATTGAAATTCTAAGTCTCTCAAAAGAGAGAGAGTTCAGGACTTAGTCGAAGGAGTGCTTCAACTAAGAATCAAGTATCAGACAGCTTAAGATTGGGGGTCTTATGCTTAAATAGGCCTATATATGCACATGGACCAAGACAATTGTGAAATAACAAAGTATGGAAATGTAAAGGAAAGCATATTGTATAAGTACAAGAGAAAACAGATAGTAGTTGTAACATCTGGTGATATTGACATTGTTTTCTGTCTGAGTACAAGAGGAAAAAGGGCAAAATAAAGAGATGACAAATAAAAATTTGTTGACTGCCTTAGAGTGATGTCATATGGGAAAAATAAAGACTGGAAAACCAAAAAAAACATACAAAATTTAATTAAATGAGAGTACAATCTATCCTCCAACTCAACTGTGAGAACAAAGAGAAATCAGCTACAAAGTCTACTTCTGCATAAGGTTGAAGTTTTGATAATGACAAGCAAAATGTATAATAAAAAAACATTTGGGCATAAGATAGATAATAAACTAGGTACTTTTTGAATTATCTTAGGATGATATTGGGTAATTGAAACTGAAGAAATACTACCATTCCTCACAATATCTTCAGAATGTTTTCCTAGGAGACATTGTCTTTTCCCTTCAGTGATTGGATCAATGCAATGTTTCCCAGTGTCATTCCATATTCAACTATACATTACTAATTAGGCAGTATTGCCAGTGTACCTATACCCTTCCTAGTTTCCCCTTTTCACTTACTCACAGTATGGTAACCTAGCCCTTAATCCTTCCTACTTAGTATAAGTAGTTAGTCACCCTATACTAGATCCTCCAACTTGAATCTACTCAATCTTCCCTCGAACATACTTCTTTCTAAAGTCTCTCAGCTCCAGTCTCTAGTATATTTTTTTAAGTGCTCTTTGTGCTTAAATCTACTTTAATCAACACTCATTGTTTAGAAAAGCTAGTCCTTACTTTGAGTCTGGTAACTTCAAGGATATCTGTCTTTGAAGTCACATAACACATATGACTGTGATCACTGCCAACTAAATGTTGCCAGTCTCACTCACTATACTGGATCCTTCTGATTATATCACGAATATTAGTGGATGATGCCACTCCTAGGGCTCTGCATAACAGACCTATTTGAGTACATAACACAGACCCTAAGAAAACCAAACTGGACCACAGAGAGTAGTTCTCTGTGGTCTGATTCTTGATTCTCCTCCATGACTCTCTGAACTAGACTAAACTGGATCATGGCAGTACTACATACATGGGCACATGTCTTTCATATTGTTTCACCTATGGTTTATATACAATGAGAGTTAGACAAATATCAATAATATGACAACAGCTATGGAGATACTGGGCCCAAGCATAGAGATTGGTGTCAATGGTACAATAGAGCTCCTGGGAGATTGTGTATCATAAGCTGTGACATTGATATTTGTCCCTTTGTAGGGCTTTGTAATTGGCATATGAATGTTCATTCTAGGTTGGAATTCTTGGGTTTGCAGTAGTGCCTCAAGTGATGGCACTATAAGACTCACAAAAGGTATCAGCTCAGGTTGGTTGGCCACTGGTTGAGAACTCAAAGCTAAACTAGGCAACTCATGAAAACCCCCTTTCTTTCCATTCATAACAGATTGACAGTATCTGATTAATTGCAGGAAAATTTTTAAGAACGTTGACCTGCACCAAACTGGTTTGGTGCATGGATGACTAATCCTCTCCCATGAGCCTGATACCCTAGAAATCATTATGAAACAATCTTCCTTTACTACAGTTCAGACAATATTCTCATTTCATTTCTCAGATAGACTCAGATGGGCTGAATGTTTTTGTATATTTAATTTTGCAGTAAATTCTGCTTAGTCAGCAACAACAATGACTCAGACTGAATCCCACGCATGTCAGGTAACAGTGAAAAATAGTTCTTGCATGAGTTGCCTTGTGGGAACTTTCTTAAAAACCCTAAATACACGGCTTGCGACATTTATATGATCAATAAAGTAACATCATAATAGGACACCAACAAATAACATAATCAGTTTGTTACTTGATATTAGTCACATGATACTAAGTCATATGACTCTAACAGTCAGGTGACCTATGATCCTAAACAAAATCATGACAAAACAACCTCTTGAGATAACTAAAACCTGATGACACAAATTACAATGTACATGACTAACAGTAAATAGTATTGGTATGATCTGACCAAGCCTATTTTCCTTAGAGCGTGGGAAATAATGGCACAGCCACCATAATTTATCTATATAAGACCTCACTTTTTGCCAATAAAAATATGCCCACAGAGAGCTTTTAAGCCCCACAGAATAAAATTGAGTGTGAAGTGTGATCAGTATCAGCAACAGTGACAAAAGCTGTTAAGCAACTAACTGAGAGGTCATTGTGAGCAACATCCAGCAATACCTTTAGCTTATCGTCAACAACTGTGAAATATCTTGAGCTCACTGTGCTCAATAGTGAGCAAACTTTTTCTTTGATTTTCTACTGGTGAACCTCTAGTTTCTTTTCTTTCTTTTTCATTTGTTTGTTTGTTTTTCTTTTCAGTTCATTTACATACTAGTGTCATTGTTCTGAATTTATTCCAGGATCTTTGTGTTGTCTTTACGTCCATCTAAGCACAGGCTTAGTGGGAAGGCTTCAGAAGTTGATAGTGATACTGAGCCAGGGTTTTCTTTGTCTGCTAGACTTTAGTTGTTGAATAGGGGACTTGGTACTGAAATCCAAGGACGTCCATTCCTGATTCTGTTTAATACTCATCATGAGTTCCTTTGCAGCAGATTCAATAGTGAACTAAGAGTTCTACTGACCATTGATTAGTCCTGACCTTTGATTCTACCTGTTTGTGCTGAGGGGGTGATTGTTATAAATTTGCACAATTTTCTGTAGTAAATTTATTATGAGAAGCATTGTTACTGAAGGAAGGGTTTCTTTTATCAATCTATTTTTTTTATCAGTACCATACTGTTGGGCTGACTTTTCTTTGTTCTCTAAACACTGCCATACTGTTGGAGTGATTTATTTTCTTTTGTCATCACCATACCGTTGGGCTGACTACATTCTGTTTATTTTCTATTGCATCCATACTGTTGGATTAACTGGAATTGCTACTGACCTCACAGAAGTACTTTTGTCTGAACATAGCTTGGGAAAGTGTAAACAGCTGCCCATGAACAACCACATTATCAGTCATTGGTATTTCTCTGAATCACTGACTATGGAGATATTTGATTTTGTAGGTGTTTATCTATAGATCATCTATCTAAGAAGACAACGTGCTCAAAAGTTCAGATCCGAAGGGCTCGGCTTCAGCTTGTGTGCTGCACTCCTTACCCAAGTACATGCCCCTAACTTCCGAGGGCTATAGGATGATGTCCAGAAGTCCGGAGTCCGATGTGTGGGAATTCCGGCAGATGTTCGGAAACAAGAGAGAAGACTAATCCGGATGAAGTTCAAACTAGAACGAAACAGTGAAGGACTACCAGAGGTAGAGGTGGAGATGTTTAGTCAATAGGAATTGATCCTAAGACTTATCGGAGAATGACGAGAGGAGAAACTCAAGTCAGACGGAGGCAGGAATGAGCAAAATCTAAGATGATATTCAAACTGAGGATATACAGAGACTTTACAGGGTTTATATACTACAGGAGACATAACAGAAGATCAGTCAGTGCAGTGCAAGGCTATGTACAAAGCATATGGAATACTTATCAATAGTGTATCGGAACATAATAAAATGGAGTTGGAAATGAATAGGGTCTGGATAAATGAGTACAGTCGGATATGAACATAACCGGAAGACCGGAAACAGGGGTTAACTAAAAGGGGGCATACAAAAGGGAAAAGAAGTGGAAGATAGAAGCTGGTCGGATCTGGACATATGGAGATGAGTGCATGAATGGTCCAGGTCCGGAACACGGGATATGACAGTATCCCCCTCTTAGGGCCGAGCCCATGAGGCTTCTGATTCAGAAGTCCAAACCTGACTTTGATGAATACGAGGTGATGGGCGGAGCTTGTAAAAATAGAACTGGGCATATAAGAGGACCAGGGTGCCCATGAGACATCTAAAACTCTCCTATTACTGCTTAACATGTCTAACTCTACTTCCAGCAACAAAAAGTCCGCCCAGCAACTTCTTGAAGAGAGACAGGCGGAAATGGTGGCCAAAATCACCTGGCTTGAGGCGGATGCTCGGAGAGAGGTGGAGGAAGAAGAACTTAAGTGCAAAGAGGCAGAGGTGGAATAGAAACACTTGGAGGAACAGAAGAGGAAGGATATTGAGGAGACTCACAAGAGGTTAGCGGAACACAAATGCAAGTGTTTAGAGAAGGCTAGGATGGATGTTGCATCGGAGGTGAGTAGTGTGCAACTTCTATATTTTCTGGATGTTTCTAACAATGTTAGTCATCTGGTCTGGCAGATCTGGAGGTCGCATGCAAGTTGTGTGTTACCTGGCGCAAAATTTGCACCTAGACAGTAGCATCCAAAATGTGTCCGGAATACAGACACAAAGGACAATCCTGTGCTTGATGGGAAGATAATCAGTGAACATGTGAAGAGGTTTTTATCAATATTTTAGTGTCTCTTCATGATCTCATGATGACATAGACCAGGAATGGATTACCTGAAGATGTTTTTGCAGCACCATCAAAGACAATATGCGCAAAAGCCAGTTATCCCCCAACTACATATTTTACCGCAGAATTAGAGCAAACGACAACTGAGGGTAAGTGGAATGAAGTGTCAAGAAACAATAAGCATGCAAACCCACTTGTTGCAACGAAAGAACAACCCAAGCTGACTGGTAAACTAGATTGGAGTAAGGGGAAGGATAAGGAGCAGGACACCACACCAGGGGCAACGTGTCAAGGATAAGGCCAAGCCTTAATCTAAACAGGATACTAAAACATCGTCATTTTTAGCAAAATTAACTGATGAATTGTCCGGTATTGGTGATATGCGTCTGCAATCAATGAAGAAGCTTATTTCAAATTTCAAAGGTAGAACCAAAGGCACGTCAGTAATGTTATTTCTCATCAGGAAATCAACCTGAACTTGATATGACCGGATATAATTGGTAAAATCAGATCAAAAATCCACTGAATTACATAAGATTATATACAAAGATAAAGCTTGATACAAGCACAACAAATAGCTATTGAATGAACAAGGATTGTAAGAAAACTGACATTCTGGTAGATGTCGAACACAAGCCAATGCCCAAAGATAGGAAGGCGATGCAGAGTGAAAAGGGGTGTCATGTTGTCTGATGACCAGAATAAGGAGGTCCCAAGCAAGTCACAAAAATATCACTCGGTCAACTTCGGGCTCTGAGAAGAACCTTGCAGCAATGATGGATATTTGGATATTGATGATGGTCGGTTCTCAGACTATCCCTGATGCTATGCTAATCAGCCAGTAGATCAAGTTGTCAGGGCATCACACTTGTCCTCTTGTCACCCCAATGATGAGGTAGACGATGTTGATGACAAGGTCAACAAAACTAACATCGACGCTCTGATATCTAGTCTCGGCAAGGAAAAGGAAGAGGGCCAAGCTGCGGCCTAAGAAGAGGAAATATAGGAAAGTTGTCCTCGTCAGGTGCAAGGGTTTGAAAAAATGTTGCATCTTAAAATGTTGCACACCACCGATGCATACGCTCACGATTCCTGAGTGATAAATGTGCTATTCTCATGATGCTTTCCCAGAAACAGGAGATTGTTTTTCATATGAATCCATTAGCGAAGGGGAAGCTGTGCCTGAGGAAGCGAAAGAGAGGAAATCCAAGAAAGTGGTCCTGGTTAGGCGCAAGGCATGTCATGACAAATCGCACCACCACTGATGCCAAAGACTATACCTGCTGTATGTTTATCATTCCAAAGTGATAAACGCACCATTTCTCATCAGGTTTTTCCAGACATGGAAGAATACTTACTCTTTGTATGAATCCGTCAGTGAAGATGAAACTGTGGAAGTTGCGCCTGGTGATGCGAAGAAGTCCAAAAGTAAGAAAAAGGCGGAATCAAAGTTGAAGGAAAAGGCTGGGGACAAGCCGGTGTAAAACTTGGAGTCCTTGTAGCCTCGTAGAGGCTATTTTTGCAGTGTCCCTCAGGTCCTAGCACAGTGCATGCTATCACTACCATGGCGTGCATTCTTTTCCATCGTCAGCCAATGGCTGCGGCTCATGTGTGCACTTCGGTTCACATCCGCTTCTCATTGGTTCCGTTGCGCATCCTCCCTCTGTCCTATCCATGTCCTCCGCTTGTCTATTGGTGTGTATTTTATCTTGTTTGTGTTAGACTGACTATATTTCCAAAGTTATATCACTTATATTCTCGTTACTTGCATTATGGACCCTTGATACATATTACTGCTATCTGCTTAGCTCTAAACAGCGCTACATGCACTATCATATATACTTAGTACTTTAGATTTTTCATGTATCTTCTTTCCCTGCCACCGAATTTATCATCTGTTTGCACGCAATACTCAGACTAAGAATCTAAAACCTTCGGCCAACTACATCGCACGCTGCATTGACGGTCACACTAAATGTTCGCACTTCGCTCATCGTACTTATCGTCAAACTCTCCTCCCGTTTCACCGTCGCATTGCATCACCTTCATGTCTCCACTAAAGACTTGCTCATATATCCTTCGGCTTTTCTCCGTACCTTCACGCTCTGTCAAACTTTCAGCAGCTCGGTCGCATATCGTATCACACCTTCAGCAGCTTGGTCATGCTCGCATCGCATCAGCACAACGTCGCACGCTTCTTCCATTCTCAGTTACTCTTACTAGTTTCCAAGTTTCCCAATACATTTTACTTGGAGGAATCGTTCTCAGTAGCAATCCCCTTGGGCCGAATAATATACTCATGTCCAGAGGTCTATTTGAGTTTCACCCCACTTCACCCTTTCTCACCCTTTCACTTCTTCTCATCTAGCTATCATTCCTCACACACACCAGTATAGGTTAATTCAAAGATCAAGGAGACGAACTCCTTACATGGGACTTTGAAAACAAGGCTGGGAGGGCACTGAACCGTGGTGGTCCTCTAAATTTCTTTGGGCCTGACAAGCTTAAGTCAAAGAAATAGTGGTTAGTTTACACTAGGGAGCAGGTAATGTAGTTATAATGTTGATTGTCCAGTTAGGATACAAGTACTTCTTGCAAGATTATCTTGTCAAGGTGGACAGACACGTTGAACGTTGAACAGCGATTCAGTGGTCTAACTTGGGTCTAACGGTTGTATCTTTTTTGATGACAAATCATTCAGTACTTCCTACCCTTCCTACTCAGTGCTCAGATCATGGGGTTGTGGCCTCCTTCCAAATCGCATGCGTACAATGTTGATATTGTAAGGAGGAACTCTCGTCCTTCTGCGACAATATCAACAACTCAATGTTCATAACCTGCTTCTGCTTCACACTGATGTATTGATATTTCCTTAGTTTGCGGAATTATTACATGTATAGAACGCGCAATGCTGGCTTCTTTGGACACTCTCACTTCACAGATGTGTTTCCCTAGTGGCCAATCAGAATATGCCCATGTGCCCTTGGTCGATGTCAACTTTCTTTCTATTCCAAATGATGTCTCAGAAGAAGAGGCCCTGTACCTCTCTGATGGTTACTATTGCCTTGACACTGGCGCGCAGGAGGATAACGACCATTGGAATATGTTTTAGTATCTTCACTCTGACAAGTTCTCAACTTAACTCCAAGTAGGATCTTGGTCACATTGGATGATGGTGCACTCACTGGGCAAACTGAAGGGTGCATCGCTATATACCAAGTCTAGAGTGTCTGGAGCATTTAAATGAGCAGGGTTGTGAAGTGATTGATTTTGGCAAGGTCAAGGATGTTAGTCAGAGGGTCCCTGAGATAGGAAGTTCCTGGGGAGGACTTGACATTGCACTTGACTGTGGTGGGTCCCCGCAAATGCATCTAGTGATATTTTTTGAAACAGTTCTCGGGTACATTCCACAAATTGAAGACCTTACTTCACGAAGGAATGAAGATGCTCATGCTTGAGGCCAATGTCCCTGAGATCACGAATGAGATGATCGTGTTTGTGAACATCTTCAAATACTACCATCTCCTCAAGCATCTTTACTTCATTTGCTTCCTCAACTTTAGTCCGACAAACTGTACTATCCACGGTCAGTATCTGACCTTTTATACAGATAACTAATCATCTGGTAGACCCCTGCTGCAGTAGTCACCTTGTACAACTTGGCGCTGGTACAGCTACGCGAGATCACGGCAATCAGACAGTGCCTTTGTTTCACTTGTATGGGAGGAAACACATCGCCATACCGCCATTTTGGATGTGAGCGCTTGGATTTGTTTATCAAATGTCATTTTGCAGAAATGCACAACAGGTCATTGCAGCAAGTGCTCAATACAACTTCCATACTTCTTTGTGAGGCAAAAACCACTAATCAAACAACAGAAGTGTATTTGTATTCCGCATGGCGCTTGTTCGCCAATGACACTTCAGTCTGGCCCATGCACATATCCTGATATTACCTTGGAACTGTACCTCCAATTAAACCATCAGGAAAAATTTTGAGCATGTTGGCCACAAAGATTGTGCAAATGTGGCATATTGCAAGTATCTGCTTGGCAGGGCAAATTTGGAGTATGTACAGGCATACGACAAAATCATGTCGGAAAAGTTCAGCATGTGTATCTGATCCACTACTGATTCATTGTCAGCATTTGCATCCATATTAATCTTCATAGGATTCTTTATTTTGACGTTAACGACCTGACAATATTTTTAGTACCTGGGTTATAGTCAGCCAATTCAAAATTGTTTATCATTTATGGCTAAATGTAGCTACCCTCCCCTTTGTTAGACCCACAGATGTACCACTTGCTGTACGATTTCCTGCACACTTGTTTTGCTATCAATGCTATCTGCTTTTCACGGGATGGTCGTTTACTTGCTAGCAGGGATGATGACGGATATATTTGGGTCTTCGATTTTCAACTAGGAAAGGAGTTGCATAGGGTGAGAGTTGTCACTGCTGTTACATCACTTCTATGGCATCCAAACAAGCCTGGTGTCATTTTCATTGGTAATGCAAGGGGAAACATTACAGTTATGAACCTTCATGCTGAAGTGAGTAAAAGAATGATATCATTGGGTTCCCATTTGATGTTTATTTCAAGCACCTTGAAGCCTATTATCTTCGCACTGGAGTCAATGCTCCAGCAGACACCTTGGCATATGACACCTATAATGGGCACCTTGCTGTCACAGTAGGGGCAGACATAATCTTATTCAGCCATCCTGAAGGTGAGGAACTGATTCCACTGAAAATAAGAAATGTGATGGCTGAAATTCATACTACAGACCCTTGGACATTTGGTGTCAATATCCCGCTGCCGCCAAAGGCTGATCATGACAAACTTTCACTACCCTTACCTCGCGTTTTCAAATTCAGCAACAACAGACGCTCTCTTATTGCAGTGTATTTTCAACATGGTATTGTGTAGGTAATTTTTTACACTGGCAGAACTTAACATTCCATTAATCATTATGCAAGCTCTTGGCTAGTAAAATCTCTCCAACCAGAATGGACTATCTGGCCTAAAAGCAAGCATGTGTAAGTTCATTATTCTGTCATTGTTATAATAGACCATACAGACAGCCTATCAGGGGAGGAGCATCTTTTTCTGCTGATGGGAAGCATGTACTCATGTCAAATCTCTCTGATGGCTTCGATTGTTATGATACCAGCAATGGCAAGCATTTGGCTAACCTCCCAACTCCGATCATCTACAACATTCCATCATCTTCACTATTCATTGAAGATAATCAATCCATATTGTGTAGAAGTTCTTGTGGATATGTTTTAATATATTCTGGAAATATGAAGAACATTGTCCAGGTGTTGAGACATGGAGGTATGAACCAGGTTCCTGCTGGTAGTGGACTAATTTTGATGTCTCTTTGGACTAGAGCATGACATAATTCAGGCATTGGTTTGTTTGTCATGGTATATTGCAGTTTGAACTGGTGCTGATCTGTCAGGGAAGGTATATTGCAAAAGTGAGGGAAGGTTCATAGCAACAGCCTCATCAGAAGCCTCATCCGAGAATTATGTTAGGATATGGAGGGCAAGTCTATCTGGTAAGTTTATTATCTATGAATCTTCATAGTAGCTCTGTCATATCCTGTATTCTGGACCTACATCTGACAATTTTCCCACGCCTCATCCAGACCTCTGGACCCCCTGTCCATGTCATTTATCTGTCCAGATCCCTGTACCTTTACATATCCACACATCCAGATCCGACCTATGCTTCATATCCAAACCCAAACCTTAAATCAGCGCTCATCCCCTTATGGTAATCACCTGTTTCCAGACATCCGGTTATCCCTATAACCAACTGTGCTTTATTTTCTGTACCTGATTCATTTTTGTCTTCATTTTATTAAGTTCCGATGCACCAGTGTTAGGCATTCCACATGATCTGTCCCACATAGCCTTGTACTGCACTGACTGATTCTCCATTATGTCCTCTATAGTATAGAAACTCCTGTAGAAACTCCTGTATTTCCTCAGTCTGAATATTACACATATTAGTCTATGCACTAGATCTCACACTAAGTCCTCATACTAGTTCTAGTCCTCCGACTTAGTGTTACGAACTAGGATAGTTCTAACAACGACAACTCGACAGAGTTTTCGGTCGTTGAGATTCTCAGTCTCTCAGACAAGAGAGAGTTCTTGTAGACTTAGTTAAAGGAGTGCTTCAACTAAGAATCGGGTTCAAGGACGACTTAAGATTGGAGGTCTTAAGCGAAGGATGTTCCAGGTAAAACCTAGTAAGATTCAAGTGAAGAATACAAGCGTAATACATGTGCTTAAATAGATCCATATGTGCGCACAGACCAAGTCATCATGAGATAGTAAGTACAAGTTCAAGAAAGGAAGGCATATCGTAAGAATATAAAAGTATGAGATAGCGGTTGTAACATTACCCCCTTACTAAGCGTGAAGTCACCGACTTTACTCATAATCTTGGTATTCACAATGGTTAGAGTCGTCCTGGTTTGCCCAATAGATAGGGTCGTCGGAATAGTCAAACTGATCGCCTCCTCCAGTAAGGTACTCCACCTGTCGGAGGGCTTCTTCTTCCTGGCACTGGCTGATGTAAGCTTCATCTAAACTTTTCTCCCAATGAGAGAGTTCTTGGTAGAATCCTTTGTCCTTCCAAGTGAGCATAGTGGGGGAGCTTCCAGTGAATTGGTGGCAATACAAGGATAGATGTCCAGGGGAGAGTTCCCTGCATATCCTGCAATAATAATCGGGACAGTTGGTTTGGCGATGGCCAAGGGTTTTACAATATCTGCAAACCCGGTTTTCGTCTGGGTTTGAGGATGAAGGGTGTATGATGGGAGGAGCGGGACGGTGACTGAATGCTTCATCATCGCTAGAGGCTCTTTTCTTTCCCTTGCCTCAGTATCCATGTTTAGGGGACCTTCTTCTTCTTCGGGAAGATTCTTTAATCTGGGCTATGTCTTCTTTAGCGAGTACGTAGATGGAGGACAATGGCATGGGGATTTGTTCTGCTTCCGCGATTAGCTCAGCGTACTCTGCAGGGGCGGTAGGTCCAAGGGCTTGTACTGGGACAAGGCAATCTACGAATGTTGGTGGAGTAAGCATGGATGGGATAGTCATTGGTGGATGGATGTGTAGCACTTTGAGTGCTTCAGCAAGCGCAATGGTTTCGTCGGGAGGAGAAATCGACTGTTCCATGGTTATCTCTTTGTGCGTAGAAGAGAAGGCAGCGTAAAGGTTTTCCGGGTGCTCTACAGTTTCTTCTGGAGCAACGACCGTATCAGACGTGGTTGTGGATGCCGTGGAGGTTAGTTGTAACGCAAGTTGGGTCTCTTCTTGTAGGTTAACGATCATGGCATTGGTAATCTCCGTGAGGCTGTTAACAGCAGCCAATAACTCATCAGACACATGAGGAGGAGGAATGGGAATTCCACCGTCATAGGAAGGTGGTGGAGTCGCAGTTGTTCGTTCAACTGGTTGTGGAGATGGTGGGCGAGCGACTCCGGTGACTCATTCAGCAACGATGTGAATAGCTTCCTGGATATCTGCCCTAACCTCCTGAGGGATAAGACGCAGAGTGTAAGCACGAATGCGTTTCTGTAAATGCATGATGCCATGTTGAACACGTGGTTCCTCCACATGTCATACGAGTCTTTCAATGAGTTCGGCGGATCTGATGACGTTAACGAGGAGATTGACGGAGAAGGTGTTTCGGTTGATAAGGATCTTATTGATTTCAATGGCATGTTGGGGACAAAGGATTGCGGCTTCGATGAGAGTAAGGTCTTCGATTTCTGAGATGAAGGATTCAAATCTTCCTTCATTGGAGGATAGGTCGATTGGGGCGAACGCGGATTCATAGGGGAGAGTGTAAGAAACTGGGAAGGACATAATGTTTATGTTGATGGGAAGATATCACAGCGAGTGTTTTCTTTTATAGATCGAAAGGGTTTCTCCGGCATTTTCCAGGTTTTCTTCCGGGATCCACTCGTTGCTAGCAGAGGAATATCCTTTCCATGATACAAGATAACGGCGATGTTTGCTGGTACCTTTGTGAGCCAGTATGGCTTCTATTTCGTATTCTTCTTCTTCCAGAATGTCAGGTGGTGGTTCCAAGAAGTTCGGACCGTGAACGTCATTTTCGCTATAGGACGATAATAGGGAAGCATGGAACGTGGGATGTATTTTCCATTGCGGAGGTAGTTGGAGTGTGAACGTGATCGGAGATAGTACGGCAGAAATGGAAAAGGGGCCATATCTTTTCGGGGCGAGTTTCCGAGACGGGAGTTTTAGACGGAGATTGGTTGCAGATAACCACACCTTATCGCCTACTTTCCATGGTTGGTACTTCTGGCCGAAGGATCTTTCCGCCATCCATTGCATAGCGATGTTGTGACAGGCTATCGCTTCTTCTCTGATCTTTTGAAGAAGTTGAACTCGTTCCTCCACGGCTGGTACTGTTGAGTCTGCCAAGACATGGGGGATTCCTTTAGGTTCATAACCCATCATGATGTAGAAAGGCGAGGCATTTCGGGCGTCATGCTTTCTATGATTGTGAACAAACTCTGCCATGGGATGGTGTTCTACCCAATTAGTTGGGTCATTGCTGCAATAGATCCGTAGGTATGTTTCTAGTTCTTGATTGAGTCGTTCAGTCTGTCCATCAGTCTGCGGATGATAGGCGGTGGAAGGGGCGATAGAATAATCGAGGAGTTGCGCTAATTCCACGGAGAATTTTGAGAGAAATTGGGGTCCTCGGTCAGAGATTACTTTGTCGTGTAATCCAAAGCGTTTGAATACGTGTTTCAGGAATAGTTTGGCTACCCCTTCAGAGGTAATATTTTTATCGCAAGGAGTAATTATCACCCCCTTACTAAGCCCATGGTCTACCACAACCATGACAAAATCAAAACCAGAGGAAATGGGAAGATCCGTGATAAGATCGACTGAGATCTGTGAAAAGGGGCGGGTGGCAAGGGAGGAAATGGGGACGAGAGGTGGCGTAACAGGATGTGTATCGGCCTTCATTTGCTGGCAGGTGGCACATCCTTCAATGTATTTCTGGATGAAGGCTCCCATACCTGGCCACCACGCTTCGCGTTTGACCAATTCCTCGGTTTTAAAATGTCCGGGATGACCAGCAGTTGGATGGTCATGGTATCGAGCCAACATAGTTTTGCGATGATCAGGAGCAATATACGCTCGGTTTTTGTAAGACAATATCCCTGAATCTACTTTCCAATCACTTAAAGTGGATTTCATGGGGGGAAGACAGACACCATTGAGGGCGTCTACGGCAGTGGCGAATAGTGGGTCGTTAAGTGCATCTGAGCTGGCAAGGGTAGCGCGAAGGTCGTCATCAATGAGTCGGACAAACATGGAATCGGGAAGTAGGATGGTGTTATCGTTATCGGAGGATCCGGTATCATGATCTGATCGCCGAGAGAGGGTGTCAGGTACAGCTAATTTAGAACCAGGAACGTGATGTAGCTCCAGATCAAAGTCAGTCAGAAGCATCTGCCATCGTGCTTGTCGACGAGATAAGTGTTCAGCTTTCTTAAAGTAGAGCAAGTTCATGTGATCTGTGAAGACTATAATCGGGGAGGGATGTCCTTCAAGATAATGTCGCCATTCGGTTAGCGCACGAATTATGGCAAGGAGTTCTCGGTCAAAAATTGGATAATTTCGTTCGGCTGGATTGAATGATTGCGATAGATAGGTGCAGGGGTGATAGACACCGTTTTCGTCAGTTTGTAATAGAACTCCTCCTGTTGCCACTAAAGAAGTGTCTGTGGCAATAGCGAATTGTTTTAAGGGGTCTGGGTTGCGGAGTACAGGATGGGTGGTAAAACGGGTTTTCAACTGGTCGAACATTTCCTGATGTTGAGCGTTCCAAGAGAAAATGGTATCCTTCTTGGTCAGATCGATAAGGGGACGAGCGATATCCGAGTAGTGAGCGACAAATGATCAGTAGAAATTGCAGAATCCTAAAAATGACTGAACTTCTTAAACAGAAGTTGGAACGGGCCATTCCTTGATGCTGTTGGTTTTTGCTTTGTCCATTTCTACGGATCCTGGTTTAATGATCATGCCAAGAAATTCGACTTCTTGAGAGTCGAATGTGCACTTTTCTGGTTTCAGAAATAGCTTTTCCGCTCTAATCTTTGTTAAGATCCGCCTTGTCCGTTCGTGATGTTCTTCAAGTGTTTTTGAAAAGATAAGGATGTCGTCCATGTATATTACCAGCCATCCTTCGTTGATTTCCTGACGGAATGCATTATCCATAAATGCTTGAAAGGTGGCAGGTGAGTTGCATAGCCAGAAGAACATTACACTTGGTTCAAATAATCCGTGCTCCGTGGTAAACGCGGCTTTCCATCGATCATCCGGGTGGATACGGATGTTGTTATATCCTGATCTAATATCCATTTTCGTGAAGAAGTTTGCCCCGTGTAGTCGTTCGATAAGAGTTGCCGGAAGTGGAAGGGGATAAGAGTTCTTTATCGTTTGATCATTAATGCCTCGATAATCCTGACAGGGACGAAGCTCTCCACTTTTCTTTCCTACGAAAAAGAAACCACTGGCTTGTGGGGATTTTGACGGATTGATAAAACCTTTTTCCAAATTTTCGTCAATAAATTTCTTCACCACAAGCCTTTCTTTTGGTGAGAGAGGGTACACTTTAGACGTCCTTGGAAGGAACCCAGGTTTTGTTTCTATACGGTGGTCTATTCCTGGTCGTTCCGGGGGGAGTTGTTTTAGTCCATCTTTGGCAAATACATCTGCATACTCATGGAGATAAGCGGGCACGAGTTCTTCGAAGGGTTTCTTTTGTTTTTCCTTTTCTTCCATTGCAAACTCTTGCGCCTTGTTGCTAATTTTAAGAGGGGTGATGATCGGAATTTGTTCTGAAAAGGATGTTCCATCCTTCGTGAGAGGAGTGTCGAGCGAAATCTCTTGTATAATTCGAACGAATTCTCCATCAGCACCGTATTCAACCAGGAATTCCCCGTCATCTAGCTTATAGGTAGAGACATCTTGCACCGGTGGAGCGCACCAAACGTCTTCCTGAGTGTCAAAAAGATCGTCATCCTCCGTTGGTAGCAACGGCGGTACATCTTCGGGGATTTCCTCGATAGAAGCAGAGAAGTTGGATGATTGTTTCTTTAGTTTGGAATTTGTCCACTTTCTTTGTTCGGGGGGGGGTGCTGAGTTTTCGAATTTTTTCCGAGATTTCGATAGACTTTGGGGTACAAGGAAGTGAGAGAGTTCATTCTGCCCAGTTGATAGAGGGATTCATCTTTTGGAGCCACGGAATTCCCAAGAGAATTTGGTCTCGTGTTCCTAAATTGGTAATGTTGAATTTTCCTATCATGGTTCGTTCATCAATTTTGATGATAAGGGTGCAGTACCAATTTACTGGTCCGCTGCGGAAATAGCTTCCGTCTGCGGTTCGGATATTGAATGGTTTTTTCAGTTTTTTGGTTCTTATCCCGAGCTTTTTCACAAAGCTTTCGGAGATATAGGTTCCAGAAGCGCCAGAATTGATTACCGCGCTTGTTTCGACATTTTCCTGTTTTCGAGATATGAGAGTAATGGGAATGCGAAGTTCTTTTTTATCATTGACAGCTCGTATCAAACGTACAGGTTCTATTGGAGATTCCACCGTCGATATGTTTCTCCGTTTCAAAAATCCTCTTGAATGCGCCTAGTTTCTTCTTCCTCTTCTTCTACTTTGCGGACAAAGGGAGGTCCCTTTTTCTTCTGCGGACATTCCCGAGCACGGTGTCCGATCTGGTGGCAAGTGAAGCACTTTCCAACATGCATGTGTTCTTGGCGACTTTCATCCATGAGTCGATCAATCACCATAGCATCGCGATCCCTTGTGGGTACAAATCTTTGATCCCCAAATCTTTTCTTCTTCTGTTGTACAGGGAAGCAGGATCTAATGGACTGTAACTGTGTGTGGCAGTTATCGATGTCGACTACTGCGGCGATGTAGTCATTGAAGTTCTTTGGGACGTTTCCAGCATTGAACATCTTGATAAGGATTCCTATATTGAGTCCTTGTTGGAAGTGAAAGATTTTTGCGGTTTCTTCTTTGACTTTTGCTTGAGCGATCAGCCTCTGATAATCGGCGATATAAGTCTGGAGATCTCCGGTTTGTTTGAGAGCTCCCAGCTTGGTCATTGCTGTTCCGGAAGGATCGATTGCAGAGAATGCTTTATTGAAAGCTTCTAAGAAATCTTTCATGGTACCATATCCTTTCTTTTGTCCGGAGGAGTCAATGAATTGAGCGTTTTCCAGAAATTCCTCTTTCCATAATCTGGCATTTCCTTCGTTCATGAACGATGTGATGAAAATGATGCGATGTTTGTCTTCTTTGTAGAGTTTATCGTTGATATCCATGTAAGCGTTACAGGATAGGAGAAATGATCTAGACAGATCCCTATCTCCATTGAATATGGGAGGGTGGTTTATCTTGTATTCGAATTCTTTGCCGCTGCTAGTGTTTGATGTCGACATATTGAGCGGGGGTACTGAAGTACCAAGGTTCAAGGCCTGTAGTCTTGGGGTGAGTGATGTCAGGTCTGCTGTTCGTGCTGGCTGTTTTGCTCAGCAGTTCTTCTTGTTTTTCGGTTCGTCTTCTTTGTTCTGTTGGTATCGGACACACACAGATGTGTGGTGTCTTTCGACTTGAATCTTTTGTTACGAACTAGGATAGTTCTAACAACGACAACTCGACAGAGTTTTCGGTCGTTGAGATTCTCAGTCTCTCAGACAAGAGAGAGTTCTTGTAGACTTAGTTAAAGGAGTGCTTCAACTAAGAATCGGGTTCAAGGACGACTTAAGATTGGAGGTCTTAAGCGAAGGATGTTCCAGGTAAAACCTAGTAAGATTCAAGTGAAGAATACAAGCGTAATACATGTGCTTAAATAGATCCATATGTGCGCACAGACCAAGTCATCATGAGATAGTAAGTACAAGTTCAAGAAAGGAAGGCATATCGTAAGAATATAAAAGTATGAGATAGCGGTTGTAACACTTAGTCAACATCAACCTCAGGCCTAGGGAGGAATTCCCTAGGCTGGAGCTCTGCTCCTCCGCTCCTACACTTCTCCAAGTTTCCGAAAGTTCCTCTGGAACTTTTCCACGGTCCTCTGGACCTATTCTGCTTCGGACTTTGTCCCTGCAGCCTTTCCTCTGTATCCATTCTACTCAGGATTCATCCTGAGTCACCATTACACATATATGTATCAGGACAAAACCTCATAGTAATTTCCGGAACTTTCCCACACCCCTCCAGATCCAGATAGTCCTTCCAGACTTTTCCATGCTTCTTCAGAAGTCCTACGGACTTCCTCCGGATGTCATCTGCAATTAAGGGCACATACTTGGGTAAGGGGCACAGTGCACGAGCTGAAGCCAAGCCCTTCAGAACCAGTCCTACCCTTTGTGCACGGTCTTAACAAGCTCCTGATGTAACAATTTCAAAAAAATGTTCCAGTATGTGACTAATATCATATATTACTAAAGCAGCATACTGATGATATATAGGGTTCTTCACAAATTTACTGGAGAATCAGTAGAATATGGTTGATACTCCTTGTCCTGGTGTTCATTTGGGTTACATGTTCTGGTATCAGTGTGATTCTTGTCAGTTGATTGTTTGCTACACTCTCCCCCTGCTATCTCTTACACCTGACAACAGATTACTGGAAGTATGAAGAATTATATAGAGTTCTGGTATAACCTGGCCAGTCAAGCCTTTGAGGCTTTAACATCCAGTATGTCTTTTGCCTGCTCTTTATAATAATTGCACTGTCCTCCTTCCTCATTGTCCCATTCTCGGATCCTTTGGCCAATAACTTATCAGATTGCTTGACATCCAATACAAGGAACATAAGTCACTATTTTTATAATTTTCTAAGGGCTGACTAGGTCTGAGGCAGTCAAGACAGCAAACATTATGGCATCAGAGGTAACATACAGCTTCCATTCTGATCACATTCTGAGTAGATTTTAATTTATATCATGCTGTATTCTGTTTGTATATATATTTTTCTTCCTCTTGGAGATCATGAAAAAGATAGTGTCAGTTGAAAGAAAAGAGTTTGACTGAATGTGGAGACAATTTATACTTTTCTCTGTAAACAAAATCAGGAATACAATAAAATTTGATTCTTTTTTGTCATGAAATATAAATTTGACCAAAGTCAACATCAACAATCGACAGTCGACAAGTGGTTGTATATTGATTAACTTGTTGACTTGTTGACTGTCGACTGTCGACTGTCAACTGTTGATGTCGACTTTGGTCAAATTTATATTTCATGACAAAAAAAAATCAAATTTTATTGTATTCCTGATTTTGTTTACAGAGAAAAGTATAAATTGTCTCCACATTCAGTCAAACTCTTTTCTTTCAACTGACACTATCTTTTTCATGATCTTCAAGAGGAAGAAAAATATATATACAAACAGAATACAGCATGATATAAATTAAAATCTACTCAGAATGTGATCAGAATGGAAGCTGTATGTTACTTGCAGTCAGAAATACAACTGTCTCAGTTTGATTCTAATGAAAGGAGGATACACATAGTGTAATTGCAGTTAAAATTGACTTACAATGAAAGCTTGAGAGTTATTGCAAATATCATCAGCATGCAACTACAAGGCAAGATGACAACACAAACATGCAACATAACATTTTTTTTATCTGGTTATAATGTGCCAATGCACTGAGCATAATCTCTATGTGGAAATGCAACTCATATTAATATAAAATAGGCCAAGTTCTGAGAAAATTTTAATTGTTACTATAATTTATACAAGAATTAAGGGTGACCCAAGTCTGTCTGAGATCATGCTGTATTTAATAATTGGTATGTGGGAAAATAGGCCCCTGCCCCCAGTGATAGCAGACTAGGCTGTGCAAGACCATAACACATTTTATATTGCTAAACACTTACTTCATGTAGTGTCCAGCAATTGTTGAATCTCTACATCGGGTCTGGTGGCACAATAATCACTTACCTTTATCCATTTTGATCTTCTTCTTGTGATACCTCCAGAGTTCAGCATCCAAGACTTCTTGTGCAAGTTGTTGAGCATCTCCATGTTCTGGAATAGAATGTGTTAGGACAGCTTAGAGATGCATTTCCACCTTTGCTGCCTGCAAAAATGCTTGCCAGGAAGGTGGATAGAAGCCAAGCTTTGCAGAGTCCTCTTGAGTTGGTTTAATCTTTCATTCTCTAATAATCTTGCTGCTATGTGAATATGGCTTGGGTATGGTACCAGAAGAGTGACCACAAAAAGTAGGTGATGTTATGTGATCAGATGGAGAAGTGTCCTTAGGAAAGGACTGTGACAAAGAGTGTATCCGGAAGGAGGGCCATATGCAATTTGAGGACTGGGTTGGCTGAGATGGAGAACACTGAAGAGGAGACTGTATACAGAAGGAAGAAGCACACATAGACAGTTAATGTCCGTATTGACAAGCTGATGGAGAGCATGAACATGGAGATCTTGTATGCCTATGAGACCTTGAATGAGTGGAAGAAGTATGTGAGCGACACAGGGGTGAGTACCTATGCTATACTCAAGCAGGAGAAGCACATCAAGGTGAGGGTCAACAAGGTGACTTTGAGCAGTGTAGACATTGACTATATTTCATTCTTAAGAGGGAAGCCTGTGAAGGAGCCTTGTGCCATCTATTCTTTACCTGATGAAGCTCGAGGAGATCAATGACACCCTAAAAAAATGTGACTAGGTGAACATTATGAAAACTTCATACACCTTCCTGTGATTTCTGTTGAGCTGATACCTTGATCAAAATCATGCATTCCATCTTTGAGATCATTATCAAAACCATCCACTTCATTCCTTTGCTGACCCATGGATTGATTCTGATCTCTGTGATGGGTGTGAATGAAGGACAATAAAGGTATAGAAGTAGAACACTTACATTTGACTGTCTTCATCTTTCCTGCAATTATCATCTGGACCCTGGTTGTTGTTTTTGCTAGCACCGTCAGATTCATCCTGATTATTGTGCTCTAAGTCAAAATCCCCATCACATTCGAAATCCCTGTCTTTTGTGATGTCTTGGTCTGCTACTTGGTATGCCTTTGTATGGGTAGCACCAGTCTTCCAAATACTGGACATGGAAAGCTTGAATCCAAACCTCTCCAAAGCCTAAGTAGTGTGAAGGGTTGGTTGAGAAGTGCAAGAGGGCTGAGATCCTGGCCTAACTTGGTTGTTGGCTGTAATTGTTACGACTAGGATAAGTCTTCTCAACACTAGTCCGAATAAACTGTCGCTCGAAGCGTGCTGAGGGTATCTTACAGGTCTCTCCGTCGATGTCGGTAAGGGCGGCGCCTCATCGAGATGAAGGGCTAGCGAGAATACGGCTAAGGCGCGGGGAGCGACTTAGAAGTGCAGCAAGGTGTTCAAGGAAGCAAGTGGATTAGACAAGCTAAAGACCAAGTTCTGGGGATCTACCTAGTAGATTAAAGTAAAGAACTAATACAATAATCTGTCTACTTATATACTGTCTGTACATAAGGGTTCAAGCTCAGTCTGTATCTAATAGTATATCTGGGATCTATGGCATCATGAGATGAGAGTCCATGAGGCCATCCATGAGGATAGATAAGATACATGAGGCTTAAGCTCTGATTAAGCGTGAGGCGCCAAGTGTTGCTGCGCATCTACATGAGGCGACATGAGGCATACATGCACCGGTCTAGGTGTCCATGAGGCGTACAGCCTCCATGGATCAGATACAAGGCCTTCTAGGCCAGTGGTGGTGTCACAGCGGTCCAGACCACTGTCATTCTAAGTTCTGGCGGCGTGCCGCCGCATTGGGAGTCTGGCAGAGCAGGGGCTCTTGTAGATGTTGCAGATGACTGTAACAGTAATGAAATGCTGCTTAGGACATGACATTAGCTTATAGCAGTTATAAAAATGAGCCATTACATTTATCTTCATTTTTTGAAGCTGTGATGGAGCCATAGGATTTTCTTCTGCATCTGAATTGCTCATCTTAATGGCAGGCTTCATTCATCCTTTCCTTGTTGGGGCTGCTAATATTTCCCCAGTCTTTTTCAGTTGCACTGCATGACCACCAACACCTCATGTGCTTCTCTCACTTCATCGAGAGGGAGATACTACTGAGGCTTGGCCATCTTTCTTGGAGGCATCAGGCAAGCTGGAAATGTATGTAATACATCTAGCACTTTAGTAGTCATAGATTACATAAGCTACAAAGTACAGCACAATAAAAAGTTATCATGAGGGAATGGCTAAGGAGAAGAAGAGGAGATAGTACATAAATCAAGTACTACATATGTGTGAGGCATGTATCAATAATCATCAAATATTACTGGATTCTAGCTAATTTAACCAAAGCACCACCACCAGCTCCTGACTTCCTGGTGAAGTAAATGCAATTCAAAAACTTTCGGTGGATACCCTTCCTCATTGACCATGACTCACCCTGTAACCTACATTAACAGGCATAATGTATATGGGGAATGAGAGGATCACATTCACCCATGTGAAGCCACTTATTATTACAATAAGACATGGGTGCGTGTGATTGTGTGAATACTAATAGTACACTCATGTCACTGCAATAGAAAACATACACTGGATTCAATATAAGAGATTGTCCAAAGCTTTAGTTAGAAAACTTTGAGGCATGGATATTGTCAATGAGAGGTAAGGTAAAGAGTGATCCCACCATAGTCGCTGAGCCAACCAGGACTCAGAATGTAGATGGTGATGTCTATTTATACTACCTGGTGGCGCCAAATGCACACATCATTGGCTGGCTAGAGCCTATGGATAGTACCCTTCCTTTTAGAGAATGTGATTTTGCCAAGGAATGGAACCATAAAAGTGCATTACATTTTAGTGTCATGATCTATAGACTAGATTGTTTTTCAGGACTTGAGCTCGAGGCCTAGTTTTGGTGAGTGATCATTGATATCAGCATAATCGCCTGATTCAAATGAACTGCTCAACAGAAAGCATGTAGAATTCTTTTCTCACGATTTCAAGCTGGATCACTTCCTTTTAAGAAAGCTGCATTCAGAACTTGATTGGTTTCATGTAGACATGTTCTATTACATTCCAGTGCTGAATAGAATGATCTGAGTGAAGCACAGATGCATTGACTTTAGACAATTCCACTTCAGCCACCATATTCTCTAACAGAGAAGTAACGGGAAACATCATCACCGGACTGGTCAGTCTGGGTACATAAAGTTGCATTACTCTTTACAGCATCCTCATGACGCAAGTGCAGATGATCTGACAGGTTCCAATGGAAATATAACAGAGCCAGGTGTTGCATCATTTGGTGAGTAATTGCTTTGAAAATAAGACAGCATGAATGTTTATATTGTTACCATCAGGCAGACTATATCACATGCTACATATGTTTGTCATCTCTCTTACATATTGTGACTAATATGATGATGCAGGTTACCACCAGTATCTAAATTATTATGGACAACCTAAAGTGCGTCTTTTACAGTCACATTCAATGGGCCGCAGGCCTAGAAATAGAGAGCTCCCTTCATAGCTATGCTAGCTATGTTGTGCCTTCCTATGTTGGTCCAAAAATGCCTCAACCAAATCTATGTGAACGGCCTTATCAATTCCCTTGACATCAAGAAGTTTGTTGACGACTTCAGCTCCCAGATCACAGCACAAATAACTCTGGTGAGTGACATAAGGGCAGAGAATGAGGACTCATTCATGCGTAACAGGCAGGGGTCATCATGGTGATTGATGCTGGTTTCCTTGCTTTCCAAGGTGTAGGTACAGGAATAGTGGCTGAGTCTATCTTGAAAGGATCCATTATATTCTGTGTGGGCTGCATGTTCACAGGCATGTTCATGCAACACTTTGGAGAGAAACTGAAAAAGCTGATATTCATGGTTTGTTTTAATTTTTATTCTACAGCTATAAGTCTGACATTACCACCCAACCAGGCATATTATCTGGATCAGGGGATAACAGTTGTCATTGGGGTGTTCAGTGCACCTAGATTTTTTTGTATCATGGGGCAAGTAAACTTTTGGATTAATACCCTTTACATTTGCTCACAAAAGATGTACTCAAGTATTGCATGGTCCAGCATTGAATTTCTTGCCAGTGCATTCATAGACACTGAGCACTCCACACCTGCCCTGATTACATGCACTTACTGCCTCCTGATTGTGATAGGTATCTTAGCACCATTGGTTTGGCATGGTTTTCAAGCAGGGGTAGTACCATATTTTCAGAAAGAAGACTAAATTCTATTATATGTACTTATGTTGCATGTATGTTATGTAAATGTTCTCACTACAGGCCAGCTCAACATTGTCATGCACCCGGAACTGTTTTAACCACTGAATTTTACAACCTGGCTTGTAGACATACTAAGAGCAAATTCCTATTGATCCCCATATCTAATTTCTACAGTGTCTTGGTTCAACATCAACACCTATGTTTGAGTGGGAATTTGAGCTCATCATTGTCAGATGCCTGACAATGATGAGCTCAAACCAGATTTTGCCGATCATGGATAGGCCAACTTGTTATGCCTTTCCTTCAAGTCTCTGGTATCTCCAACATCTATAGGTCAACTGCTACCTTTTTTCATAAGGCATAAACAACCAACATAGCTCTTGTTATTATCTTCTTAACCACTAATCATCCCTCTCATTAGCTTGCTTTCTCCGATGAAGGTTTTACTTTGGCCTCGTAATTGCTAATTGGTGTCCCCATCACTTGCGTCCAATCTAGTGCCACCCCAGTCATTGGACTTAAGACACAAGATTGTTCTTTGTTAAGTTTTGTTGTACCATACTTGCAAGGTCTTCTGGCCTTCTATGTAGTTGAAGGAGGTGCCACCTAGCAGAGATGTGATTCTAGATCTAAGTTATTTGTACCATAGTACCTCTATTATTTCCCTTGTTGTGCTGATAATACTTGCAGTATCAATAACTTCCACCCTCCGGTGAGACTGACTCTTGACTCTGTAAGTCCCACCCTTTCCTTTACTTTGCTAACCGCAACATTCTTTTCTTATTGCAGATATTGATACTACACTTCTTCTCAATCACTTTGCAGCTAGACCTCATAGATGGACTTTCTGCTGTTATTTCTATTTTCACACCTCCTTAATTCTATGGTGTTGTTGATGAGCTACTCACTATTGTCATTAATTGACAGACTACTATAAATTCTTCTGTGCATGAGTTGAAAGCCGAAACTCTGTCTCCACATGACTGAGCAGTTGCTAAGTGACTACTTCCCAATCATCTGTTGAACTTGATCTCAATTGTTGGACATGGTATTGAATATGCAATCTTATCTAAGCATGGTAAAGGTGCATCCCATTGCATTTGAGCTGCACTGTAGCAGTCTACATCAGTGGGTGCATACTTCTCTAGAATGTTTACCTACCAGTTCTCCTCTAGCCACCTTAATCTATATTTCTTGTACAGTTCAAATAATGACTGCAGTTTCTCTCAGCCACTTCCAGATGCTGTAGCAAGTTAGTCTCTTTAGCGGCATATGCGAGGACGTCTGGTTTATCAGATTACCGGTGTTTGAGGATGGGGTTTGGACTAACGATCAGTGCAGCGATCATCTATTGCAAACCAGATGCTTACCATTTCAAACTCTGCATGAAAGTAGATACTCGGTAGTAGCAATCAATATATTGATACATTGATGATGGACTCACTGTCTGCCCTCATGGCGATCTTGCACAATAGTATGCTGTCTTGCATGTCAATCCATCAGCTTATTTCTTTCATTGAAGTGTCCTCTAACCTGAAATACAGCATTAAACTTCACCACCCACTGAAGGAGCCATCAGACGATACATCAAGTCCTCTTGTTTTACCAGAATCCATCGCTCTTTTCCTATCGTGTGCAATGAAAATCCCACTAAAGCTCATTGGGGAGTGCTGGTATGCCTTGAGAGACATTGTTTGGACCACAGGACCAGATAGACAGCGCTAGGGTCGTGCAGCAGAGGTTTTTAGAGTCCATGGGTGGGACCTTGGCATCAGTGCATCATTGCTGCTGTCCAAGTTGCATCAAACTTGCACTTGTATACATTTCTCATATTATTGCAGTGTCTCTCACCCTGTACCCACCCTCGAAGTACTGTACAAACTCTGATTGCCTGAATACTGCTGCGCTGAAGCGGGCAGAGCCCAGACAAATCATTATTTATACGCTTGATCAAGGCACTTGACCTGCATGGGCCATTCACTTGAGCTGCAAGAGTAAGTCGATTTTTTAATGCTCAAGTCCAATTCAACTCATTGTGCTAACTCTCATCAATTAAGAATGACATCGCCACTATCATCACAACTATGTTGTCTATGGTAGTGCTTAGCATCACACATATTATTCAGGTGTCCCAGACTACCTTCAAGTGGCAGAACATCAGTTTGTCGACATCCGTCTTGTGAAGCTCTGGACCAATCAGCATTTGTTAGGCTCATAAGTGATTGTGAGGCTTACACTTCTGTTTATTGAGGTGTTCTGCTATGAACTGTGCCTGTATCTACATGCTTTCTCTCACCAGCATCTCTCAGGAAGCCTTTGATGAGATTGTGTGGCCCTTCAAGTCCAAACTCAGCACTGAAAATGTCTGGGATGTGTTTGTGCTCCTTGCACTGCTTCGGGACTATGATGAACATACAGTGTGCCTGACTGTGCCACACTAAGGCATACAAAAGGACTGATTTAAAGCAGCAATGGAAGAGAGAAACGAGCACATTGTGTGTATTGGGCAGCCAGAAATTAACCATATCTGTGACGGGCGCATGCGTGTTTATGAAGTTGAACACTCAGATGGGGAGATTTCGCATGGTTAATGATCCCTGTAATATGTGCATCATGTACTACATCAACGATCTATGCTACAGAAAAATGCCAGCCAATTGTCAGCAATGGAATTACTCTAGGCCATGCATGTTGTGGTGTCTTTCGGTGCACACAGCCTTTACAAAATAACCGCGACCATTTCTGTGCTGAACACCATAGTTTGCATAACACATGCCATATTACTGGGTGTGATCGTCCAATCAGATGTGGGGATGCAAAGACATGCAACAATCGTGATCACCAGCAGATGGAGCAACTCCACTATGCAAAAGCAACTTCTGCCTTTGTATTGTCTGAGCAGCTGCTCCGCTACCGAGTGTCATATCCAGATGATGCTTTGGGCACAGAAGCTCCAGCTGACTTGCCAGATGTGAGCGTGAGCCTGGGTCCAACAGTTGAAGAGAACATTGAGTGGTACACCATCAAGGATGGTCAAGTGTCTTATCAGTTCAAGAAGAACCCTGGCTCTGTCAGAGTACTTGAAGAAGGGGATGAGGGACTCAGTGATATAGCCCTAGCCAGCTCAGAGCCATGCAATGCAAAGTATGACACAGGTAATAGAAAATTCCATGTGCAGTTTGGATGACAGAGAACTCATAATAAGCAAACTGCTGTTCGCACATGTGGGGTCATTGTGGGATGAGTGACGGTCAGTTGCCAAGCAAATAAATGTTTGGCTTGGTAGCTATCATGCAATCTGCAGGAAGATGCTTCCCACCAAGTATAATTTCTTCTTGGATGAAATGATCTGCCTTCATAATATTTTTACTATTCAAAGCCTTCAGCTTAGGGCCTTAAACCTACATTATGCCTCACCTTCATGTTTATGATATTGGCATGCAGTTGCTAGAGACGAGCGAGCAGGATATTTTTAATACAACATAGTAGATGTACGGTATGACAAGTTCATGAGTGTAATCATCAAATGGTTCCATCTCTGGCACTTGAATTGGTCAAGATATTTCTGCTGCTCAGTGACGAGTCACTTTGCACTCTTGCCATGGCGACACAATGGGAGTCCTGTGGCAACAACACATGGTGTATGTGACCATGTCCACCTCTATGTCTTGATAGATGGCAGTAAGTCTATCGTCAGAGTTGTGAGCATGGCACTGGTAGGCTGTGATCTGGGAGAGTGAAGTTTTGCATGAGCACATCCAATGCATTGCTGTACCTTTGAATTTCATTGTTTGTTTCGGTGAGAATGTCTTTCCCAAGTCTCTTCCCTGTTATGATGGTAGGAGACTGAGCACATGGAATGGATCCTCACGACATACTCCACCAATATGCAATTGTATGCCCTCGGGCCCCTGCAGAGAATTAGCGCAGTACAATGATAAGATAAAGTAGGTAACACACGAGCAGTACACCAAGAAGGGGTGACATTCATTAACTTCTCAAGTTCTAAGATCCTCTCTGATTCCTTGCTGTCCTTGATAACCCAGCTCTGCAGGGATGTTGTGAGGTCAGCCGGGGGCACCGCACTGTTAGCCAGTAGATAAATGGCATATGATGCAGCACATCTAGCATCTATGGCATAACGCATGTCACAAAAATCTGCTTGTGTGCCTATTTAAAACAGCATGAAGATAGAAGCGGGGAAATAATAGGATAACTTACCAAGATCTTGAACATCTTCTAATATTTTGAGCACAGTGAATTGTGGGGAGACAGCCAATTGGCTCTGAAAACTATGTTGAAGGTCTTTGAATGCATTTTCGAATTCTTTGATCTCAGATTCCACATTCAGTACTGAATTCTTGATCACTTGCGCAACTTTTATGAATGGCATCGGACATCAGCTAGAACTCTACTACACCTGGAAGACTTACGGCTGCCTTGAGTATTCGCATAATCGCAAATGAAGAACGCGCATTTGATTGTTTGCTGCATGATGGCCTCAATAACATTTTTTCGTCAATACAGATACGGGAGGGCATTGATGGTCATAATAAGATTGTAAGTTTCTTGCATAGTATGCATCAGCCAAATCATGTCATTTTCGTGGGTGATCTGTTGTCTGATGACCTAATAACGAAACAATGATTTTATAAAACATAAGCAATAGAAATGGTGCACTCAAACCTCGTATCTTGTTGCCAGTATCGAATATGCAATACTTGCATAGGGGTGAAGCTAAAAAAATGAGTCAAGCCAGTTCTTCTGGATGCGTGTTGTGAGAAAGGTTTGCTATACCTTAGCCAGTCTTTCAGCCACTGAAACAAAGATACCGATCTTTACCAGAAGAGGGTAAAGATATTCATTGCCAGAGATATCAGGAAAAGTAGAAATAGAGATATTTGGCATAAGCGAGTTCGGATTGGAAAGAGAAACAGCATTGAGACGTAGCTCCATTGCGCGGGTTGAGTCAATGCAACCCTCGCCCTGCGCGGAGTCAAGAGGGTTGCGGACTAATTTTTTGTCTCCTCCGAGACCTCTGGTTTGGCTTCCGGAGTCACCATGCTGGCACGACCTTTGGCCGCACGGGAAGTGGACTTTAGGCAGTCCCGGGCAGTATGACTGGGTCCGCCGCAGAAGAGGCAGAGCTTCTTCTCCATGCGCCTCTGGTGTTCCTCGGAGGTGAGTTTACCATCTTTTCCAAGCTTGGACGTCAAGTCCGGAAGTTTGGCGGAGGAGGTGTTACGCTGACCGTCGGTCGGCGTGTGCGAACTAGGATAGGTCTTCTCAGCGACGACTCGAGTGAGTCTACTGAAGCTGAGGGTGGTTCTCGGCTTGATGGAACGTCAAGGGTTCCTCCGGTGATCTCGGTAAGACGGCGCTCATCGAGATACAGGGCTAGGGGATACGGCTAAGAAGCGGGGAGTGACTTAGAAGTGTGGTCTTTATACAAGAAAGCTGAGAGGCTTAGTTGAACAAGTTCTGGGATCAACCTAGTAGATTAAAGTAAAGTCTAAGTACAATAATCTGTCTACTTATATGTGCTACATATATGTATTCTAGCTCAGTCTGTAATCTATAGTATATCGAGGATCTATGATAACAAGACATGAGGTTCAGATAAGGTACATGAGATTTAACCTCTGATCAAGCATGCAGCACCAAGTGCGACTGCGCATAAGTACCATGAGGCGCCAAGGGCGCTCCGGATCTACATGAAGCAACATGTGGTATACATGCGCTGATCTAGGGTGACCATGAGGCGTACAGCCTCCATGGATCAGGTACAAGGCCATCTAGGCCAGGGGCGGGGTCATAGCGCCAGGGGCGGGGTCACAGCGGTCCAGGCCGCTGTTCTTCTAGGTGCGGGCGGTGCACTGCCGTGTTCATGGTCTAGTAGAGTGGGGACTGGTGTAGGCGGAGTGGGGACTCCTGTAGGTGTTATGGATGCCTGTAACAGGAGGAAGCCGAGGCATTTCCAGACCGTCCGCCGGAATACTCTTTCCGGTTGGAGGTCAGAGCTGATTGCTTGGCAGGAGGGGCGGATACGGAGGGTTTGGTTTCGCGGGAGACTTCTCCCTTGCATTCCCAGTATCGGGCGTCGATAGTCTGGGCGAGGGTTTTGTATTGGGACAGAGTGGTGGGTTTTCCTTGACGACTGATTTCGTCTTTGATGTGAGCCGGAAGTCCGTTGTAGAACTGACGGCGCAAAGCTCCATTGCCCCAACCGTGGACTTGGGAAGCGAGCCGTTGGAACTCTACAACATACTTGTTGATGCGCTGTCTGTCATGCATATAGAGCTGTTCCAGCTGCATTTCTGCATCTCTGACCGGGTCATGAGGTCCGAAGTTAGTTTGGAGTTCTAACATGAACTCGGAGTAGTCATCCATCCATTCCGGACGATCCGTGAGATCATCCAAAAGGAGGTCCGGATTGCCTGAGACAGGCAGAGGAAGACCAAGTCTTGTGGACCGAGACCTTCGTTTTCATCGTCAGTCGGGTCTTCCGGAGGTTCATCGTCCAGGTCACCTCCCCCGTCATCTGGTGGATCTCCGCCCGGAGTATCTTCATTTTCCGGGAGGAATCCGGCCGGTGTGCGAGTCGGGGTTTCTGGGTGTGGATGATTCATGAGTTGGGAGATGCTGGATGCAGCGCCCTGCGCGCTAGCGTGATGCTGTGAGAAGCTAGTGAATGCATCGACTATGGGAGTAGAATCACGTCGGGCGGTTACTAAGCCCGCCGCGCAGAGGTTGGTCTGAGTGGTTGTAGGTGCCATGAATGTAAGTATACTCGGTAAGGTGTGAGTTTGAATATACTGTTAAGAACGTGCTCAAAGGTCGGATCCAAAGGGCTTGGCTTCAGCTCGTGCGCTGCGCCCCTTACCCAAGTACGTGCCCCTAACTTCCGAGGGCTATTGGACTATGTCCGGAGATTGTCGGACGAGTTTGGAATCCGATGTCCGATGCACGGGAATTCCGGCAGACGTTCGGGAACGAGGGATGAGACTAATCCAGACAATGTCCGAACTAGAAAGGAAACAGCAGAGGACTACCAGAGGTAGAGGCGGAGGTGAGAAGTCTATAGGAATTGATCCTAAGACTAGCGGAGGATGACGAGAGGAGAAACTCAAGTCGGAACGGAGAAGGGAATGAGCAGAGTCTAAGATAATATTTGAACTAAGGAAGTACAAAGATTCTACAGGGTTTATATACTACTGAGGACTTAACGGAGAATCAGTCTGCGCAGTCCGAAGCTATGCGAGGCTGTGGACGGAGCGTATAGAAAAGTCAAACACTAGTCTATCGGAAAATAGTAAATGAAGACGGAGATGAAGACATAGGAAAATAAAGGCGGAAATGAAACGAGGTATGGAAAATGAGTATAGTCTAACTGGAGAAGGAACGTACAAAGGGATAAGGCACGGAAGTTAGACGCGGGTCGGATCCGGACGATGGATAGAAGTCAGCCGGATCCAGAAGTCCGGAAATGATGTGTGAGATTGGTCCGGGTCCGGAATGCGGGATATGACAATCTTCAACACTTTGTTCAATCAACTGGTCCATGTCTTTCTTCTGTCAATTTGTGGCCTCCTCTAACCACTCAACATCTTCAGCGAGAAAGTCAATCATCACCTGCTTATATTGCACCTCTTCTTCTAATTCATCAATATGGTCTTGATGTTGTTCTAGGTCATCATTATGTGTCATGTACATTTTGTCTATCTCGTCAAGATGCCTAATGTGGATTTCCTTAAACTCCTGTTTATCCATGGACATATCTGCCTCCACATTCTTGATGTGATACTCCAGCATTTCCAACATTTCAAGGAGAGCATGAGCATACTCCTTCATGGTGCATTTTTGGGCTGCAGAACCATGGTAATTGAATTCCTTATCTTTGTCCTTTCAGCCAAATCTAAATGAATGCACATCCATTTGCTGGCTTTTGTAGAGGTAAGATTCGTGTCTGTGGTATGTTTAGATGCAGAAAAGCACATTTTGATTGGTATATGAGACTGAATATGGAATATAAATGGTTATATATTGTTTGTAGATCAGGAAGGAGAGGAATGAGGGAATGGAAAGTTTGGTATTGCCCTCAAACATGTATTAGATAAGCAACATTGAACTAATACCTTAATCTTTTAATTATCACCCACATCTGGCAACATTCTACATACTATATTCAATCATAGGATGGGCCTAATATAAGTGTGGTGTCTTATATAAAGTTCTTAAGGTATTTAATTCCTTGTAAAGCTGCCAGTATCTTCAATTATTGCTTGTAACCTTCAAACCAGGAGTAGCTTAGCATCACTCTAAACCAAGACAACCAAGTATTGAGAACCTCTATCACTGTCTAGAGCTCCTTATAGACTATATTCATTGCCTATAAAATGGCACCCTCTTTTCTCCACATGGGACAATTTTTGCAAAATAATAAGGTCTTTATATACACATGGATAAATTTAAATTTAAGTACTCTCATGACATTTATGCAGGTGTTGCATTCTGGAACCGCCCCTGTGGATATTTGTGTGCTCGATAATACAATAGAGGGATTTAGAATGGCCACAATGGACATTTATTACTCTTCTGCATATTAAAATGATGTGCCCATTTTGCGTTTCAAAACCACTATCCCATCACACATTCATGTTTTCAGTACCACAATTGAGGTTGAGAGACCCAGGATGTAAATTCTGCATCACTAAAAATCAATAATGCTATTTGTATGATCCTCAATCCACATGTAAAAGATGTAGCATTCAGTGTTCCTTGGAACAGCTGTACTGTTACGACTGGGATGAGTCGAGCTGTCTGAGTCCGAATGGACTGGAGTCTGGTCGGCGAGACAGACGTGGTTCTTCTCTCGAGTGAGAGGTCAAAGGTTTCTGGCTAAGGCGAGTGTCGCTGACTCCCTTAGAATAGTGGTTCTTAGATAGCAAGGTTGGAGACCTTGCTAAAGGACTTGTTCCAGGTAAAACCCAGTAGATTAAAGTGCAGAATACAATCGGTACACTATGTGTCTATATAGCAATTGTTCAAGCGGAGCTTGTAAATGGTGTATCAAGATAGAAGGCGGACAGCCCGCTTGGCAGGAGATAAGAGATAAGCGGTGAGAGATAGCAAACATAGTGCGGACAGCCCGCTTGATGGGAGATAAGGGCTATGCATGGTGATGGTTACAGGCACGGAAAGTGAGCTTAGCGATTATATGAGTAAGAGTCTGGAATGTAATCGGACATTCAGTAACAGACATGACAAAGGACCATTGTCCGGTAATAAAGGAAAAGGTAGGGGAATAAGTGTACCGTAACATGTACAGCAATTGTAAGTTCTTATTTACTTATTTTCCTGAGGAGTATTTATGTATTCATATATCAGGTCCCAAAGTGTCCAAAGAACAGCACATCACCTATGCATCTGACACCAAGACAGAAGCATCTGACACCGAGACAGACATATCTGGCACTAAGTCAGAATCTTCAGAC